ATGTTTAAAATTGAACTTACTGTGTGTGTGTATGTATGTTTGGATACAATTTTCGTTTATTCTATTTATAAGCAGTTTTCAGAATACATTCTTAAGAATAATATTCATATACCATTTAATCATTTTTGAATTAAAAGTTGGAAAATTATTAAAAATGTCATGTTTTTATACTGTACATATTTTTTAAATAATTTTTTGGGTTTTGTATAAATACTTTAATAATTTGCTTTAATCAAAAATTATGATTTAACATTAAAAATGAAATAATGAAAAATTAAGAAATCAATTTAATTTAACTACTTATTAATTTCTTTCCTAATTTAACTAACTAACTATTTAATTGTTTGTATGAATTTATATACAATTTTTCTTTCTTTTTGCGATACTTTTGAACTAATATACAAAAATCTTAATTTTTGATGTTTTAATGAATTAATAAGAATTTTCTTCAAAGATGACTAAAAATACTAATTATTTTAAAACTAATTATGTAATTTTCCATTGAAAGATTTACTTGTATGTATGAATTTTTTGTGTAACAATTTTTTTTTGCATTTGTAACAGTTTTTCTAAAATGAAATATATTTGTTAAACAAATTAGTGAAAAGTTTAAAAATTAGTAACAAAATAAATAAATAGTAAAAACTTAAATTTTAGTTGTCGATTTATATATATATATATATATATTTCAATTTGTGGTTGGTTAGTTTAAAAAATTCGCTTTTGGTTTATTCCGCCTAAAAGAAAAGCTAGATATCCAAAGACATTTGTATAAATAATGAATTAATTAAAAAAAAGTGTAATTATAGTCATGTACACACATACATACATATATTATATTAATATTATCTGTTGTTTTATTCATTTATTTGCAGGGATAATGAATCAATAAACAAAACATGTATGTTTCTATATAACATTTATATATAGACAAAAACCAAGATCATTCCGATGGAGAATTTATTAAGCTATATTCAATATTAAATGATAATATGTATTTAAGTAATGTAATATATGATTTAGAAATGGTAAACCTATGTCGATACAAGTATTTCTCTAGAGCAATTAAATGACAAAGAAATTTTAAACACAGGGTTGTTTGAGGTATGTAATTAATTATTTATATTAATTAAATGGTTGTGGGATTGTACTGGTAAATTGAGTACTGTTTTACTGATAATCTAGTCTTTATAGGAGGCATTATAAGATTCTCTTTCAGGAGCTTGAAGATTCATCAACAGTTTTTAGACATCAGATTTAAGAAGAAATTCCTACCCGATAACAATTATATTTATGAATATATATTAATACGACTAAAAATTTTTGAGATTTTATAGACTTAAATTTCATACAGAATTGGTGTGAATCATCATCAGTGTAATAACCCTATTGATATACTATGGATATACTAAAATTTTGCAAATTTCATATATGTGAGTGATATAGATCATATGATATTGTATTCTGACAAAAATTAAAATATGTAATAAAGAAAATTGTCCTTCGGACTCTATTAATAAAATTATGAATGACGAATGAATTATTACATTTTAATAACAAATCCTTCACTACTGTAAATAAAAAGTATTTTACAAACACTTGTATTGAATTAATGAATTTTATACATATATGAATTAATTGATTAATAAGTAGATTAATAGATTAATAACTAATGAATTACTTGAATTCTATCCAATTTTATTAATAAATTCAAATACAAACGTATAAATTCAGTATTTGACAGTTGAAACCAAAATGGATTGCGCGCACTAACCTTAACTGACGTTTAAATGAATTTTATTAATGAAGTTAATTAATTAAATTTGTTTAGAATTTTATGTATGAAAAAATTAAGTGAAATGTGGATTAATAGATAAAAAAACTAATGAATTACTTGAATTCTATCCAATTTTATTAATAAATTCAAATACAAAACAATAAAATCAGTTTTTGACAGTTGAAACCAAAATGGAGTGCGCGCACTAACCTTAACTGACGTTTAAATGATTTCTGTGTATGATTTAATTAAATTTATCTAGAATTTTATGTATGAAAAAATTAAGTAAAATGTTGATTAATAGATAAAAAACTAATGAATTACTTGAATTCTATCTAATTTTATTAATAAATTCAAATACCAAACTGCAAATTCAGTATTTGACAGTTGAAACTAGTGTGCACTAATCTTAACTGACGTTCAAATGTGTAAATATTAATTCAATAATAAATTTATATAATAGCATTGAATTTTTTACTTACTTTAGTATTTTATACAGTATCTTATTACAATTTATTGCATTACACATTTAATAACAATGCATCCTCTAAATTCTCTGTAATACTAAATTGCCTATAAAATAGTATTTTTTATGTACTAGTATCGAATGAATAAATTTTGCCTATGATTAATTGAATTATTGAATGAATGAACGAATAATTCATTCGATTACGTCTAATTTTATTAATAGATTCCATTATTTCATTTATAAACAGAGTGCGCGCGCACCAACCTTCAATGACGTTTGACGTTTCACTTAACCTATATCTATTTTTGACATTTCATATATTGACGCAGTTTAAAAACAATTTATATTTATACATGACGCTCGAAAAAGGCTTAAATTTGACAAAATATGGAGTCTAAAATCATATCCGATTTGGCTAAACTATTAAGAAAAGACGGCGATAAAATTCTGAATGAAAAATGTCGACTCACACTCTCTGGACCTATATTGAACGACTTAAACGAAGCCTTTTGTCTAATAGCTGAAAGGGATGTTTATAATACTACTTTTCAAGTTATTCCTGCGAATAATATGAAAGCAGAGATATTTTTAGATTTACAGTTTCTACATGACTTTGTGCAAAAAACTTTGTGTTTAAGCATCACCGAAGACTTGAGTAGTAAGAAGAATTATAATGTTGATATTAGTAAGTTTAGGAATTTAAGGTCTTTAGAAGTGCATAAGATACCTATATTAACAGTAAGAGGCTTACAGAGTTTACGTGCACAATTACAAAGTTTAACGTGCATCCGTTGTGTTGATAATATAAAAGACATATTGTCTTCTTGCGGAGCTGATCACAGCACAGGTTTTGTATGGTCAGAGTTAAAAGAAGCCAAGTTCTCTTACAATTGTTTACAAAGCATTGATTCAAGTCTTGAGTATCTACCGTGGCTCCAAGTACTTGATTTAAGCCACAATCGCATAGTCACTGCCGAAGCCCTGAAATGGCTACCTAACCTCAAATACATCAATCTTAGTTACAATAAACTTGAAGAGATTCCTATGTTTCATGTCGAATCTGGAAGGAAGTTGCAGATATTAAAAATAAGCAATAATGATATAGAGACTATAACAGGTGTCAATCGGTTGGAAGCTCTGTGCGAGTTGGATTTAGCTAATAATTATATTATAGATCATTCGAATTTAGTGCCTGTTTCGTATTTGCCCCATTTGAGGTGGCTGACGCTTGCAGGAAATCCTCTATCCTTTCATCCGGAACACAGGAAGCTGACTGCGAAGTATTTGCATAGGAATGCAGGAACTATTAAGGTAGTAAATGACATAGTTTTTTAGATGTTAAGTTACAAAATGCATATTTTTATTTTCAGTTCTGTCTGGATCAAATCAAGTTGTCGAAAGTGGAAAACAACTTGACAGGATCCTACAAAATTGCCCAGCGTCTCCAAAGATCTCCAAGAAAACATTTGAATTCAGTAAGCTCCACACAATCCAACGAGACCAGTGCCAGCGAATCCACAGCATCAGATATTAGGGTAACAAAATAAAAAATAAACTAGTAGTGTATGGCATCGTGCCTTAAGGCAAATTGCTGGAACTTCCCGTACTAATAATTATTTTCTTTTAAAAAGATTAACATTTTTGAAAAAAATTAGATTTTTGAGAAACTATAAAATTTTGACAAAAATCTACCTTTTTTGAAAAAAAGACTTTTTGAAAAAAAATTTTCTTTCTTTCTTTATTTTGTGACTTTCTTTATTTTGAAATTTTTTGGAAATTCTGAACTTTTTTTCAAAGCAATCGTACTGCTTTAACTGCATAGAGACGAAATATCGAAGCGCGTAAGCGCCGCGCCGCCGTCTAACGGATAAACATTGGTACGAAACCGATAGGAATGTAAACAAAATATATACTTATTGTTAAAATCTCTATAAAATATCTGATAATTGGATGTGCATATGTCTAATGATCATTTTTGACCTCGAAATGGCATTTTTTTTTACTTTTTTCATTAGATCTCCGAAATCGCTAGACCTGCCTTCATGAAAATTTGATCAATTCTTTATTTTGTCAATACAAGTAAAATGTTTTTTGAATTATTCAAATCGGACGCTCCGTTCTCTTAAAAACTGAGTTACCGTTTTTGGCATTTTTTGCCACGTAAATTCGGAACGGCTAGATCTGCCTTCGCCAAAAACTAATCAGCACGTCTTCTTGTCAATACGAATCGAGTGTTTTTTGAATTATTCAAATTGCTTCATCCGTATTCCCGAAATCGTCAACGAAAATTTGTATCCGCTCACACATACATACACGCTCACACACACATACATCCATTTTGTCTAAGGTATGTCGAAATGTTCAGAAGGTTTTGAAACGTAAAGATATATAAATTTTTTTTTGCGATTACTATAACTTGCCCTACGGGAAGTTAAAAATTGAAAAAGTGCTCTCGTATAGTCACGGTCTAAACGCAATTGCAAATAATTCTGTGCGACATTTTCGCTTATACTGTGCTTAGCTTGGCGGCATTTTCACATTTTCAATAGTAGTTTTCACAAAATTGGAAAAGTGTTGCAGTACATAAACAGTCTAAACGCACTTGGGTAACGCATTTGTACCAGAGTGGCACTTAGAATGTGCTTAGACTGGGTCATTTTTTGAATTTTTTAAATCCAAAATTACAAAAATATTTTATGGAAAATAAAAAAAGATGTAATATTTGTTTCTTCTCAAAAACAATTGTTTTGTAAATTACAAGCAGAAAGTTTTTTAGATCATTCAAATCGGACGCTTAGTTCACTCAAAAACTGCCGTTTTTTGCACATTTAGCTCTGTATCTTTGAAATGGCGGGACCTGTCTTTGCCAAAAACTAATCAGCACGTCTCCTTATCAATAGGGATCGAATGTTTTTTAAACCGTTTAAATCGGTTGATCGGTGTTCCCGAAATCTTCTACGAAAATTTGTATCCGCACACACACACACACACAAAAATTTAGTTTCTGAGGTATGCCAAAATGTTCAGAAACTTCTGAAACGTAAAGATATATAAAAACTTTCATTTTCGATTTTCGGCCCATTACTATAACTACCCTACGGGAAGTTAAAACTAAATTCCTATTTTTTCAATCTATCACAATTCGTAATTCTCTTCCCAGATATTCGATTCAAGTTTATCTCGTCTCAAGCCTATCAAAACAGTAAAAGTACGAAACGCCATCATAGCAGACCTGGACGACGACAATAATTTAGACAGCGATGGCAATCAGACACGACAGAGTAACAGTTTACATGACAGTACGACTTCTGCAAATGATACATCAGAAGATATGTCTCATCTGGAGACCAAGAGACAGCTGACTGACCTTCGAAGCCAATTTGGAGACGCTTGGCTGCATAGCCAGGGCGGTTCTTTGGTTCAGCATATTTTGGGAATGACACCGATGACTGGAGTCACTGGTGACGGAGGTATGGGGGATGGTAAATGTGGTGCTGAGGATTCGGAGGATGGGGGAAAGGATTGTCAAGGTCAAGGTAAGTAGTAATATATATATATATATATATATATATATATATATATATATATAATATAGAATTTTATGATATGAGTGGAACGAATATTAATTGTTTAATATGAACAAAACAGCACTCAGATTTGTTTAACACAACTTTATTTTATGATTACAGACGTTTTGAGACCATGGTGTGTCTCATCTTCAGTGTAATTTCAAAAACAGTTACTTATATACTACACATTCTTTAATAATTTATTTAAATTTCATTTAATTTTTTGGTAACAAAAAACACCAACTATTCCTTGCAATGCTTGACACAGTACTAAAGAAACATATAACACTTACAGAAATATTCTAAACAAATTTGAAGTACTTTCTAGATGGAGACAGAGAGGGTATCATTATAATGTGAACAAAAGGAGTGCTATCGCATACAAAATCGATAAAAATGAAAAAACAAATTAATTTATTGAAAAGAATAAGATAAATGAAAAAATTTATAAATTATTAATGATGTTTATATAAGTGTCATGTAAAATATTTGTGTCGGTTCTTAGATTTATGCTATTGTTAGTCCGAACTATCATTTTTAAGAGACTTTAAGAGAAAGACTTATTTAAACGGAGCATGGCAGAATCAATGTTAATAGTTCGGACTAACAATAGCATAAATCTAAAAGCCGACACAAATATTTTACATGACACTTATATAAACATCATTAATAATTTATAAATTTTTTCATTTATCTTATTCTTTTCAATAAATTAATTTGTTTTTTCATTTTTATCGATTTTTGTATGCGATAGCACTCCTTTTGTTTACATTATAATGATACCCTCTCTGTCTCCATCTAGATAAGTACTTCAAATTTGTTTAGAATATTTCTGTAAGTGTTATATGTTTCTTTAGTACTGTGTCAAGCATTGCAAGGAATAGTTGGTGTTTTTTGTATATCAAAAATTAAATGAAATTTAAATAAGTTATTAAAGAATGTGTAGTATATAAGTAACTGTTTTTGAAATTACACTGAAGATGAGACACACCATGGTCTCGAAACGTCTGTAATCATAAAATAAAGTTGTGTTAAACAAATCTGAGTGCTGTTTTGTTCATATTAAACAATTAATATATATATATATATATATATATATATTGTATGATTCTGAATTTGATGTTGACATATGTATTAACAAAGTCTAATCATCGGACATAACATCAATAAAAAACATGAATTTTTTTCAAAAATTTATTTTAAATCCATACGTTTCGGCTATAATCCTAGCCTTCATTCAGTGGAAACTAAAAATAAAATTAAAAACAAAAACAATTGAATTGGAGTGAAAAGAAAAAATAAAATAGTAATTAGTACTTACAATTAGTTGACCTTAGTTCAAAATTTTAATAATCCATGGTATCAAGATATGGTAATGCACTACACTATGAATTTATAATACATACAACAACATAACAACAATTCAAAAAAATCCAAAACAGTTTAAAACTATGTTAGCAGAGCATATTTATACTTTAAAACATAATATGGACTTTTCTAACCCGTCTGTACTACAATTCGAACAAAATTTATTCAAACGAAGAATTATAGAGGGATTTTTTTTTAACTATTCACAGCAATAAAACAATAAATAAACGGAATGAACTCAACACGCTGTGCGACACAAACCTCTTTTATTTAGATAGTATTTCCAAATTTCTCACAAAACAATAAAAACGACGCGCAAATTATTCGCAATTCGTTCCACACATGTGTTAGAATTTTGGTAAAAAATATTTTTTAAAATGTCCCTTCTCCATTATATCTTCAACCAGTTTACGAACAACACACTATCCAATTGTGATTTTTTAAATTAGTATTTTGTGAAAATATTGTGTAATTACAAGTTTATAATACATAGTGTAGTGCATTACCATATCTTGATACCATGGATTATTAAAAGTTCCCAATTTAACACTAAGATTAACTAACTGTAAGTACTATTTACTATTTTATTTTTTCTTTTCACTCCAATTCAATTGTTTTTAGTTTTTAATTTTATTTTTAGTTTCCACTGAATGAAGGCTAGGATTATAGCCGAAACGTATGGATTTAAAATAAATGTTTGAAAGAAATTCATGTTTTTTATTGATGTTATGCCCGATTACTAGACTTTGTTAATATATATCTTCTTATATATAAAAATGGAGTTCTCGAACAAATGATCCGCTAAAACTAAACGGCTGAACCGATTTGGCCAGTCTTAGTCTTGAAAAATTCGTGCTAATCAGTAGGTTGTCGGAAAGGTGAAATATTATTTCAAAATCGCGTAGAAACTTTACATTTCTAATTTAAAAATTTTGGACGGTGGCTAATACGTGAAATGTGTGATGTTCAATTACGTTTAATAGGATGTTTTACGTGAATATTGTTTAATTATGATTAAATTGTAGTAAGTAGTTTTGTTTGTAGTTTTATTTATATGCAAAAACGTTATTAAACGGGCCGCAAGTGTTACTAAAAACTCAAAATATCAACTTTTTTGAAATGTTAATATGAAAATGCACTTTTTGGCATATTTTTCTCAAACACGGTGCTCTGAAAGATCTCATTTGTATAATTATATACTCATTGGTATTTATAAAATATTTTCTACGTTATATTATTTTTTATTTATGTAATTTAAATTCAGAACCTAAATTTGGTATCGATCAAATGGACATTTTGTCGAATAACATTTTCCCAGTTATAATTTCCCAGAATTTATCGAAGAATAGATAGTAATATATGAAGGTTCGGAGTTAAGAAGGTCCACCACCGATGTGTCAAAACCAGTAAAATTAAGCATTGTTTAACAACCATATTTGAAAGTAGAGGGAAAAAGATGCATAACCAGCTATAATGATTTGATTCTTATGACTTTGCTATCTGGAGATAAGCGGTATTTTCTTCCGTTGGTAGTTTTTTAGCATTAGTTAAAAATGTAATTATTTTGTAAAATACCTTTAAAATTATAATAAGAATTTAAACCTTCTTGCCACCTGCTCGTTTCAAGTTACCTCGCCTATAGGATAAAAAGGTCTAGATAACAAATTTTTGAAAGACATCAAAAAAGCACATTTTTACAATGATGAAGTAGCTGGCAGTTTTACTGAACGTAGTCAGATAATTGTTCGTTCGAAATGTGTTGTTTTTTGTGATATAATTGGTTTGATTATTATAATATAATTAATATTTGCTCAAAGTCAAAATTGGACCTTTGTGCTTTGCCCTGCTCTACATATATACTCTTTATTAAATTTAATTTAATTCATTCAATGTTACTTGAAACTTTTCAAAAAACATGTCAAAGAAAAAATACTTAATTCATTTACTATCTCTCCTCGCAGAAATTTGAAAACTTTGGATAAGCTCAGTAGTATTATTTACAATTATACACAAAATACAGAATCCAAAAAGAATCTGAAAAACTTGAAACGTAATCAATAAGTCGAAAGACCATTAAATACTTGGATTGGATTACACCATGTTTTCTATATTAAGTGAATGAAACTTCCAGTTTGATTGTATTGACAAAATATAGACAAACTAATGGGGTTTTTTGTTTTTATAATACCTCATTGAATATATATACGTGGTGTGTTCAAAAATTACCCGGAATTACTAATAATTAAATTTCGCGGGTCTGGAGTGTCTGATTGTCAAAAATTTTTTTTTATTGTGTTGGTATACATGCCCCTAAAGTATGATGAAATTTTCAGCTATATTCACTGTTTACTTTGTCTGTGGTAGTCGCTAAGGTTCGACGTGTTTTTCTGAGCTCGGCGATTTTTACAATGGAAGAATTGAAAAGTCAAAGAATTTGTATTAAATTTTGCGTAAAAAATGAAATAAAGTGTTGCAAAGTGCAAAAATTCACCAGATATGGCTCCGTGTGACTTTTTCCTATTCCCAAAGTTGAAGAGACCCATGAAAGGACGGCGGTTTTCCTCGATTGAAGAAAATCGCTGAGAGTGCTCAAGGACATATCAAAAAGTGAATATCAAGGGTGCTTCGAAAATTGGAAAAAACGCTGGCATAAGTGTATTATATCTGGGGGGGACTACTTTGAAGGGGACCACATTAATGTAGACGAATAAATAAATATTTTTTTGAAAAAACGAAAATTCCGGGTACTTTTTGAACAGACCTCGTATATATATATATATATATATATATATATATATATATATAGCATTCAAACAACACATCTTTATACACTTATAGTATTAATATTTTTGATTCTCTAGAAATTGTTTAGAATATACCTTACTTAGCACAACAACGTTTGCCGGGTCAGCTAGTACATATATATATATATATATATATATATATATATCATAGATAAATAAGTATATATATATATATATATATATTTAATATATTTTTTTTAACAGAAACAAAAATGGGAATGCCACTTCTATCGTCTACACCGAAAAATGAAAATCAATCAAAAACGTCCTCGGTTAGTAGTCAACTCGAAATGAATATAATTAAAAAAATACCTACAAACTCTATTAACTTAATATTATTATTTTTCTAAGAATAATACTCTATACACAAGCATAATTGGAACAAGCACTGAAGATTTCACATCAGTCACATCGAAGACAAAAGACAGTGATGAAAATTCGAAGGAAACACCAAAGAGTTCTCATTACAGTTCTGTGATATCCGATGATAATAATGAGACACAGGAAGGCAATGAAAGCGATACAAATTCAGGTAAACTTTTACTACAATTAATAAAAACTTTACTACTCTTTTCATTTTAATCACTCATAAATTAATATAATGATTGCTTATTGCTTAAGGGGAACAACTAGTGTAACCGCCTAAAAAAAGGCGATTTTTAGGAATTTATATTAAAAAACTACTTTATCAATCTTTTCAAAATTTTAGGAATATATTTATACAAGTTTTAAGAATACATAGTAAAATTGTTGAAGAAAAAAACTAAATATTTTTTAAGTTATCGTCGATCTCCGACGGCGCGACAAAAAAAAAGGCCCTTCACTGCTGCAGTGATTCCGGCCTTCTGCGTGGATGAAATTTAAAAAAAAAAATTCGTTAAACTAGATAATATAGTCTGTAAAATGAACTACGATAAAGAAAAAAAATCAAAAATTGACAAAATGACGGCGTTTTTTAAAAAAAAGTCGAATTTTACCCAAAATTTTGGTCGTTTTTGGACTGCCAAAATTCGATTTTTGATCCGATCAAAGAATCGATAGTTCATTTTACGGAGAACTATATATAGAACATGTAAAAAAAAAATTGCTAGTGATCGGATCATTTGTTTTTGAGTAATCGCTGCAGCAAATTCGGAAAATGCTGTTTCGAGAAAAACGCGTTTAAAGATAAAATGATCGTTATACTATATACTAAATATATACTCTTTAAATGGCTGTGACTCAAAAACGATTCAAGATATCGATTTAAACTTTTAGTATGTTATTTTTAAAGGTATTATCTATCGAAATATGGAAAAATTGAAAATTCGATTTTTTGAAAATTTTGCACTAGTTGTGCCCCTTAAGTCGTCTTTTTTCTTAAATTAAAATGCCACTTACACCTAATTTATTTATTTTTTCAGATAATGGAGTTGAAGAACACACCTACTTAGCTCGTACCGAGAACAATCTCGGTGCTCAAATCGAATTGTTTGTAATAATTACGGATAAAATTATTAAAGAATGTTCAGTGCTGACTGGAAAGTAAGATGCAATATTCAAATATACATTTATAATAAATTTATTTAAAATATATATATTTTTTCTAGAACTTTAACAAAATGGTCTCTGTCTACTTTACTTAGTTGTGAACGAACAAACTCTACTAGTTTAACAATTTGTTTTGACACTATTCGAAGGGACAGGAATCAGAGGAAATATGTTTTGGAACAAGGAGATGCCCAGGTAATTATATATATATATATATATATATATATATATATATAAATATATATATATATATATATATATATATATATATATTATATATAGATATATTATATACATAACATATATGCATAAAATGCTAGAGCGAAAGATGTTATATTTTTTATTGTACTAACAAAATGTAGAATGATATTTTACCAACTCGTATTGCTACATTTTAAAACGATTTGCAACTTTTTTAAACGTTCTGCGACATTTTTAGATGTTTTGCAACATTTTTAGACGATTAGCAACATTTTTGGTCAATTTGAAACATTTTCAGACGATTTGCGACATTTTCCGACGATTTGCAATTTTTTCAAAAGAGGCACCACATTTTCACACTTTTGCAGGCGAGTTGCAACATTTTCAGACGTTCTACAACATTTTTAGACATTTTTGGTCAATTTGAAACTTTTTCAGACAAGTTGAATAATTTTTCAGACGTTTGGCAACGTTTTCAGACGAGTTGCAACATTTTGAGACGAGAAACAATATTTTAGGTCATTAGCAATATTTTTAGACGAGTTTCAATATGTTCAGACGTTCTGTAATATTTTCAGACGTTCTGCAACATTTTTAAACGACTTGTAATATTTTGAGACGTTCTGCTGCAACATTTTCAGTCGATTTGCAACTTTTTTCAACCATTTTCAACATTTTCAGACGTTCTGCGACTTTTTTTTAGAGAATTTTCAACAATTTTGAGACAAATCGCAACATTTTCAGACGATTTTGGTCGACTTGATACTTTTGCACCCGAGTTACAACATTTTCAGACCAGCTGTAATTTTTTGAGACGTTTTGCAATATTTTCAGACAAATTGAAACATTTTTAGACTAGTTGCAATATTTTCAGACCTTCTGCAACATTTTCAGATCTTCTGTAACAATTTTAGACGTCATGCAACATTTTCAGAAGAGTTGCATCTTTTTCTGACTATTTACAGCATTTTCAGACGATTTACAACATTTTCAGATAATTTGCAAAATTTCCAGGCGTCCTACAACATTCTACAGACGAGTTGCATGGTTTTTAAACGAGTTGCATCATTTTGAGGCTATCTCTATCATTTTCATACTAGTTACAACAATTTTAGACGTCTTACAACATTTTCCAATTAAATTTTAGACGTTCTACAATATTTTTAGACGATTTGCAACATTTTTAGACAAGTATATAATGAACATAAATCATTAATGGTTGTTTATTTTTTTTAGAAACTGGATTCTCATCTGAGAGAGATTTTATCAGCTCGACCATTGCAAGAAATGAATCAAATAGTTTTAAGATGTATGAAATGCTCGATGCAGTTTACGAGGGAAATCCAGCAGATTGTTGTTTCCAGATTACCAAACGGTAAGCAAAATTATATAAATAATATATATATATATATATATATATATACTTATATATTGCTATCCTTTTATTAACTTCCCGTAGGGTAAGTTATTGTAATGGGCCGAAAATCGGAATTGAAAATTTTTACATTTCTCGACGTTTTGAAGGTTTCTGAACGTTTTGGCATACCTCAGAAAAAATGGATGTGTGTGTGTGTGTGTGTATGTATGTATGGATACAAATTTTCGTCCACGTTTTCGGGCGTACGGATCAACCGATTTGAATGGTTCAAAAAACATTCGATTCTTATTGATAGGGAAAAGAGCTGATTAGTTTTTGGCAAAGGCAGGTCCAGCCGTTTCGGAGATACGGAGCAGAAAATAGAAATCGAATTTTTGAGAGAACGGAGTATCCGATTTGAATGATCTAAAAAACATTCAATTAGTAATGATTGGGAGCAGTGTTTATTAGTTTTTGGCAATGGCAGGCCCAGCCATTTTGAAGATACGGAGCTAAATATGTAAAAAATGGTAGTTTTTGAGAGAAGTAAGCGTCCGATTTAAATGATTCAAAGAACTTTCTGCTTGTCTTAACAAAATAATTGATTTTGGAAAAAAAAATTGGTTCCATTTTTTTTTTTTGTATATCGAAATATTTCAGATTTTATTTTTAATTCTGATATACTTTACAAATAATTTCAACTCTGCAATTCAGTTTATATATTTCTTATAAATATTAGACAATGTTACAATATTTATAATAATCTATTTGAAAACATTCAGTATTCCACGAACATTTCGTTACGGTACGGGAAGTTCCAGCAATTTGCCTTAAGGCACGATGCCATAATTGCTTCAAGACAGAATTCCACTTACAGCTAGTTGATATTGTTTTTATATAACTGAATAAAACAATATTCTGAAACAATTAATATTTAATAATTTATTCTTCTTTCAGATAAATCTGATACCACACCTTGCCCATCTTGCCACAGTAAATTAGTTGTAGAAGTTGAAGACGATTCAGCGATTCACAAACCGTTGAAAACAGAAAAACCACAACAAATTCAAGTTGTACAAGAAAACAACAGTCATGTGCAGTTCGACTTGCAACACTCTCAATCTCAATCTAGCATAGGTAATAAAAGGATGCAAAAATATATTTAGTTATATATTTTAATTATTTGTTATGTTTTTCTTTTAGGATCTGCAAACTCTTTAGAAGATAGCATAACCGATAGTACAGTAAGCGTAGCTGGAAGTGATATTGAAGTTTTAAGTAATCCGAGTCAGAGTAGCATTGAAGTTTTACACAGGTGAAAAACACTATTTTATAAATTAGGACTCCGACTACTATTACCTTTTTTATAAAAACAAAAACTCATTTCAACATCAAACGTTTTAGAAATCTGGTTTATCAAATAAATCGTTCAGACTGCAACACAATTTATATTGATGAGATAAGCCAAAATTTAACTAGTGGGGTGGGTGGCATCGTGCCTTAAGGCAAATTGCTGGAACTTCCCGTACCGTAACGAAATGTTTGAGGAATATTGAATGTTTTCAAATAGATTATTATAACTAGTTGGTTTGGAATTTAGCCTTTAGGCAAGTTACATGAACTTCCCGATATGTGTAAATAATCGACTTAATCAAAAAAAAAAAAAAGTGTAAATAATATACTTCATCAATCCTACTTAAAAAAACGATAATAATTTTAGCAAAGTTTGACGAATTTTTAAAATTAAACTACTTGTCGCAAGGCCGTAATATTACAGTATGTTCTATAAGACCATGATGTATATCGCCAAAAAAAGTTCCATAAAAATCGGCTTAAATTTTTTTTGCAACAGTTAATTACAAGAAAACGGCTCGGCAGATTTTCACCTAAAACTAATCAGTATCATTCCCAACTAATATCTTTCGAACAGTTTTTGATTTTTTAAAATCGATTCGGTAGGATGAGCTTAAATGTGGACGAAAAGTTCAACACTTTTTTTCAAATTGCAAAGAAACGGCTTGGCAGATCGTTACACAAAATTGACAAACGATAGTCTTCACCGAAATACATCAAATAGCTTTTAAATTTCTAAAATCGGCTCAGACGTTTTTGAGAAAACTTCGATCAAAGGTCTAATTTTGACAAATGCCGAAAAAAACGATACCAATTTGTGCAAACTTTGACGAATTTTTAAAGCTGAACCAGTTGTCGTAGGGCCGTAATATTTTAATATGATATACAAGACTATGGTATCTACCGTCAAAAAAATAATCATAAAAAGCGTCGACATTTTTGTTTTAAAAACTTTATTACAAGAAAACGGCCCGGCCGATCTTTACCAAAAACTAATCAGCACGATTCCCAATCAATATCTTTCGAACGGTTTTTGAATTTTCAAAATCCATTCAGAACTGCGGGCTAAAACGTGGACGAAAAACTTTACACTTTTCTGCTATTTACGAAGAAACGGCTTGGCCGATCGTCGCACAAAACTGACAAACAATAGTCCTCATCGAGATACTTCGAATGGCTTTTAAATTTTTGAGATCGGTCCAGCCGTTTTTGAGAAAACGGCGATTTACGGCAAAAAATTTGTTCACACACACACACACATACACACTCACACACACACACATACTTTTTCCAAATTTGGTCTCATTCGATTCAGAATGGCTTGAAACGTCGAGAAAACATAAAATTAGCGAATCGGATTTTTTGATGAAAACATAAACTTTTCCTTCGGGAAGTTAATAAAACGCTTTCAACTACATAAAAATCTCAAACAATTTAAAACTATATTTACAGAACACCTTTAAGAAAGTCCATTATCTTTTTTCTAGGAAAAGATCATCAGAAGAACGCAGACTGATGGCTTATCCGTCTTTAGACACAATCCACGATGTTATACACAACAATGCGACGAAATTGAAAGCCAGAAGTGAGTTTTTCAATTATCATTTATTATTAATTGTAATTAATAATCTGATTTTAAGTTAATTATTAATACTGTTCTATAGATCAAAGCCTAACAACCACTAACACTCTAACGGAAAGTAGTTCTTCTGGATCCATGACGAATAGCGTGTGCACTGCCATTGAAAATGGTATTATTATTAATAATAATTAATAATTAGTAATTAGTAATATATTTATTTGATAATGAAGAGCTTGCATTGATGGAATTACTAAAAAAGATTAGTCGTAAAAATGTGATTGGTTCTTAGAAGTAATAACTGGTGAAACAATCTGGATGCAACTTTTTCAGACAGTTTGCAACATTTTTAGGCATTTTACAATATTTTCAAGCGGCTTGCCATATACTACATTTGCAGACACTTTGCAACATTTTTAGACAACTCACAATATTTTCAGGCAAATCACAACATTTATAGGCAACTCACAACATTATTAGACAACTTACAACATTTTTAGGAAACTTACAACATTTTTAGGCAACTTACAACATTTCTACACCACTCACAATATTTTCAGGCAAATCACAACATTTCCAGGCTACTCACAATATTTCCAGGCAACTCACAACATTTTTAGACAACTTACATTAATTTCAGACAGCTCACAGCATTTCCAAACATCTCAGTTGCCTGAAAATCTTATAAATTGTTTAAAAATTGTCTGAAAATGTTGTAGGTTGTCTGAAAATTTGTGAGTTGCCTGAAAATGTTGTGAGTTGTCTGAAAATTTTGTAAGTTGTCTGAGAATGTTGTAAGTTGCCTGAAAATGTTGTAAGTTGCCTGAAAATGTTACAAGTTGTCTAAAAGAGTTGAAAACGATGTCAGTTGCCTGAAAATTTAATGAATTGTCTTAAAACTTTGTGAGTTGTCTCAATATGTTGTAAGTTGCCTCAAAATGCAGTAACTCGCCTGAAAATCTTGTAAATTGTTTAAAAGTTGCCTGAGAATGTTGTAAGTTGCCTCAAAATATTGTAAGTGGCTTGAAAACATTGTAAGTTGTCTAAAAGTATTTTAAGTTCTCTGAAAAAATTGTAAGTTGTCTGAAAATTTTGTAAATTGTTTAAAAGTGTTGTAAGTTGTCTGAGAATGTTGTGAGTTTCCTGAGAATGTTGTGAGTTTCTTGAGAATGTTGTGACTTATCTCAAAATGTTGTAAGTTGCCTGAGAATATTGTGAGTTGCCTGAAAATGTTGTAAGTTGTCTGAAAATGTTGTAAGTTGCTTCAAAATGTTGTAAGTTGCCTGAGAATATTGTGAGTTGTTTGAAAATATTGTGAGTTGCCTGGAAATCTTGTAAATTGTTTAAAAGTTGCTTGAGAATGTTGTGAGTTGTTTGGAAACTTTGTAAATTGTTTAAAAGTGTTGTTAGTTGCCTGAGCATGTTGTGAGTTGCCTGAAAACGATGTGAGTCGTCTGAAAACTTTATGAGCTGTCTCAATATGTTGTGAGTTGCCTCAAAATTTTGTAAATTGTTTAAAAGTGTTGTGAGTTGCCTGAGCATGTTGTAAGTTGTCTGAAAATGTTGTAGGTTGTCTTAAAATGTAGTAAGTTGCCTCAAAATGTTATGAGTTGCCTGAGAATGTTGTGAGTTTCCTGAGAATATTCTGAGTTGCTTTAAAATGTAGTAAGTTGCCTGAAAATCGTGTAATTTGTTTAAAAGTTGCGTGAGAATGTTGTGAGTTGCCTGAGAATATTGTGAGTTGTCTGAAAATGTTGTGAGTTACCTCAAAATGTTGTAAGTTGTCTGAAAATTTTGTAAATTGTTTAAAAGTGTTGTGAGTTGTCTAAAAATGTTGTAAGTTGTCTGAAAATATTGTAAGTTTTCTTAAAATGTTGTAAGTTGTCTAAAAGTGTTGTAAGTTGCCTGAAAATCTTGTGAGTTGTCTAAAAGTATTGTAAGTTGCCTGAAAAAATTGTAAATTGTCTGAAAATGTTGTATTTGCATTGTCTTTTAAGTTATTTAAAAAAAAACAAAAACATCGTAGATTTTCCATAAATTTTCCTGTTTTTCTGAAATATTCAAAAAGAAAATTAAAAGACTACTTAAAGACCATCACAACATTTTTTTAAAATTACCACATCACATTTAAAATTGAACATTATTATTTGCCATTTACTCGTATATTTAACTAATAAATTCAATGCAAGTTCTTTATTACAAAATTTTTATACTCTTGTTAAGTGAATTACATATTTATATTTATATTTATCTTTCAGACAAATCCAGTGAATCACATACACCCAACAATGGAGTACTTTCTGATTTTAAAAATGGTAAAAGTAACTTGTCGAGTAGCCCTTCTATTATTTCATCTATGCTTGAAGGTAAAAAAAATAAAATAATTCATAAATATTAAGAACTTAGCTACAGCAAAGCATATTTTATTTTCTAGGTTTATTTCAAAGTGCGAATAATTTAATAATGAAAAAAACGAACGATGACTCGAAGACTTCACCATCACAAAACTTAGAATCTCATCCTGACGATTCCAGCGATCAACTCTTTTCCTATTCCTACCAAGATTTCTCAATTGTGGACCATCGATTGACTTTACATCTGTACCAGAATATATTCACGGATGTAAATGAGACCCTTAAGTGGCTTGTTAGGTGTGAAATTGTTTTGCAGAACTTTGACAAATCTAGTTTGACGAAATTGGAGGGTTGTTTTGTGTTAACGAATACTAGATTGCATATTTTGAAGATTGTTGACAAGGAAAGGTAGGTAACTAGATGGATAATTAAACTAGTGGTGTCGTGCCTTAAGGCAAATTGCTAGAACTTCCCGTACCGTAATGAAATATTCGAGAAATTTTAAACGTTTTCAAATATATTATTACAAATACTGTAACTTTCATTATTTTTGCTATCTTGCTATATCTGAGCAAATCAAATGTAAATCATAAATCATAAATCAATTTATCTCCAGAACATTAACAATCGTCATTTCATTTCGAATTCAATTTTGAAAAAAAATAGTTGCCTAATAATTTGCACAAAATTCAAAAAAGTGCTCCCGTATAGTCACAGTCTAAACGCATTTGCAAATAATTCTGTGCGACATTTTCACTTATACTGTGCTTAGCTTGGCGGCATTTTCACATTTTTTAATAGTTTTCACAAAATTGAAAAAGTGCTCCGTACGTAAACAGTCTAAACGCATTTGGGTAAATATTTGTACCAGAGTGGCGTTTAGACTGTGCTTAGCCTGGGTAATTTTTTGAATGTTTAATCCAAAGTTACAAAAATATTTTTTGAAAAAAAAAATTAGAAACAAAATTTTTCTTCCAAAAATAATTATTTTGTTGAAACAAGCAGAAAGTTTTTTTGTATCGTTCGAATCAGACGCTTAGTTCTCTCAAAAACTGCCATTTTTTTAACATTCTGCTCTGTATCTCCGAAACCGCTGGGCCTACCTTTGCCAAAAACTAATCACCACTTTTCCCCGTCATTACGCACTGAATGTTTTTTAGATCATTCAAACCGGATGATCCGTTCTCTCAAAAACTCGATTTCTATTTTCTGCACTTTTTGCTCCGTATCTCCGTAACGGCTAAACCTGCCTTTGCCAAAAACTAATCAGCACATATCCATATTAATAGGAATCGAATGTTTTTTAAACCAGTCAAATCGGTTGATCCGTGCGCCCGAAAACGTGGACGAAAAAATGCGGACATACAAAACACACACACACACATTCATTTAGTTTCTGAGGTATGCCAAAATGTTCAGAAATCTTTAAAACGTCGAGAAATGCAAAAATTTTCTTTTTCGATTTTCGGCTCATTACTATACCTACCCTACGGGAAGTTAATAATAAATTATTCTGTAAAAGATATCTTCTATATATATAAAAATAAGTCGGGTTTTCCTTCCTGACGAAATAACTCCAGAACGCACGAACCGATTTCGACAATTTTGCATTCATTGGAAAGGTCTTGGGCTCGGCAAGGTTTATAGCTAAGAAAATTAGTGGTGCATGGCATCGTGCCATTTAGAAAATTATTGTTTTTCACATGGTCAGTTTTACGTTGCCTGTTCACGAGTTGGAAAACCATTCGCTTTATTTGCGTTAACGTCAGACCAAAAAACAAAAAATGTGGTTTACCAAAGAGCACTTCAATGAAACGGATGATTTGCAGATTCACCTTCATTTACTTAGAGAAGTTCAACTAAAAAACACTTCATTTTGTAATAGAAATAAATTCGTTACTGTTGTGTAATAAAATCACATTTTTCCTTTTCAAATATAAAACAAACAAAAAATTTCTTCATCTTTCTCACGAAACCATCTGGTGGCGAAACGGAGTTCGTCGGGTTTGCTAGTATAGTATAATAATTAGTATCTATTGCAGTATTGTCAAATGTTTTTTTTTATATTTCAGAGGTGACCCAAGCAAATGGCTTCAGAAACACCAATCGTTCCAGATACACAAATTGTGTTCCATAGACCTACTGCCTTACAAGCAAGGAATATCTTTCAATATAGAACAGACAAAACCTAGCCCTAATTTAACTGTTTTGTGTTTATTGAAAGACGTACAAAGGACCAACAATTTATTGGCTTATTTATCAGGTAACTAAAACACCAATCTACCTTGCAACATTTTTAAATAACAATATTATTTTATAGAAAACAAAATATCTTCCACCTGCAACTTAAACTGCACAGTACCGACTAGTCTCAATACAAAGTTACAAAAAGTATTAACCGAGGAAAAAGCTGCAGGGTCGCAGAACTCATCACCGATTTTAACTTCCAACAAAATGCAACAGTTGCAACTGTTTATGATTTTCAAATATTTTGAAACTGACAATAAAATGGAATATTCTAGCGGATGTTTAATTGTTACTTGTGATGATATAATTGTTGCTGAGGATTTGACGTGGCTGTTTGTGGACAATGAGGAAGAATTTGTGGTCAGCAGGAAGCAACCGATGATGAACCTGGTTGAAATTGTAAGTGGAATAATAACTATTGTTATTAGCAATATAATTAATTTCCCGTAGACTAAAATAAAAAACAAATAAACAGGTAGATTGTATACAAATCAAATTCAGGAAGTTCATGCAAGTTGTGCACTTAATTATTATTATTATATAATAATTTTCTTATTTTTAGGATATCAAAGATAAATGTGTATCATTTAATTTTCTTGACGAGCTGAAGAATTCAGCAATGGAAACATGGAAGATTCAATTGGAGACAAAGAACTCAATTGAGATTCTAATTAGTGCTATCAAACAGCCTTGGGAGAAATTATTTTTAGTTCCACTGACTGTGAATATATGAATACTCTAATAATGGATATATATATATATATATATATATATATATATATGATGTAATATAGTGTAAATATTTATGATAAAATAATTTTAAGACTATATATATTATATAAAACATGCTTTATATGTGTTAGATTTAAATTGTACAAATTTATTGTTAATATATATATATATATATATATATATATTTAATTATATATACAAACTTTTATATTATATTAAAATAAAAAACTTAGACTCACTTTGACACAGTATTGAACGAAATGTTTTATTCGAATAGAGAATAAATAAGCCTAAAAATATTTCTAGAATTAGCTGGAAATTTTTCTGAACGTAGTTTCTTAGTTGTTTGATTAATACAAGTTATTTGTTATGATGTTTTGAGTTTGATTTTTACAGGTCAAGCTATTTCTAATTATAATATATAACATTTGGTGTTTTCAGGAAAATCACACATCTCTTTATCCTGATTCCAGAACAGGCTGTCAGGACATTGCAGAAGAATCAATTCCTGACCCTGGCACTGGTAATACGATGAGCAGTCTTCGAAGTTGGGGATGAAATCCACATCAGGAGAGCATTCTGAGATAAAAAGGTAAAATTATTCTAAATCCACATCAGGAAAGCATTCTGAGATAAAAAGAAAGATTTGTTAAGGACAAAATGCATAGATAAAACAAGAGTATTGAATGATTGTAAATTTGATATGTCCTAATCTACTCTTCTTTTATCTATGTCCTAATTAGGGTTTGTCGGTTTTCAAAAACCGGTTTTTGGCGAAAATGGAATTCGAAAACCGGTTTTTTAGTGAAAAAAATCGGTTTTCACTGTATAAATGGAAAATGACAAATATAGCCAAATATAAAGGATAGATGAAAGCGTTTTGATTCTTGAAATCATATCGGTTCAATAGCATTTCATATCTTATCATTCTGCAATAGTTCCCAGAAATGTTTTGTATATATTAATTTAGATTTTTATACCAGTGTATATATGAATTTAAATCAGTGTGACTTCTTCTTGAAGAAGTAACTTCCTCTACTCAACTTTAAAAAAAGAGTTTCAAACCCTAGAAGCCACAAATTAAAGAACAAAAAACTTAGAATTATTATATCAGGCTTTAAAAACAATTAAGCATAATTTGGTCGGAAGTATGAGAGTATTTTCTATTTCAGGAAATTTTGTGAGTAAACAAAGGACACGTTTAAGTAGCAATTCGATAGACGTTTTTAATTTTTTTAAATCATATTTTATCAAACAAAAAACAATTTGAATGTTTAAAATTAATTCATTAAAATTGCTCGGAACAGACAATACCCGAGTTTAAATTAATTATTTTTAAAACTAAAATTGATATTAACAAGTACGTATCAACATGTATCTATTTTTTTTTAATTTAATGATTTTTAATGTATTATTTTTATTCATTCGAAAACTTTCATTTCACTATCATAAAATTATTCTTACATGTGAAAATGATGCATGAATAACGAATAATTAGTTTCAAAGTTATTTAATCAAGATAAATTATTATTTCTTAGTTCTATTAATTCAAATTAAAATAATATTGTTTACTGTCCATAAAATTAAAGAATAAAATAAATTTGCGAATAAATTACAGAATATTCGAGCAAAAATTTATTTTCTATATAAAATTCGAAAACCGGCTAAAACCGGTTTTTTAGTAAAATTAAAATTCGAAAACCGGTTTTCTGAAATGTCGGTTTTTGTATAAACCCTAGTCCTAATCCTTCAAGAAGTTGGTCACAGGAACCGATAAACGATGTGACGGTACCCTCACAACCTGTCGCCGTGCGCGTGCACCCTAACAGAACCAACTTCCGTCGAAACAAAAAGGACAGTATGACGGTTCTTCGTGATTGAAACGTCAAAGTATTAACACGTTTTATTAATTTTTGCAATAAGTTACTTAACTTTTGATAAATTATAAAGTGTATAGTGTTTTCGTGTACGTTGCACAATAAATTTACATTAACATTTGCTAAAAACAGTAATTATGATTAGTGACGAAGGTTTGGAAGGTTTTTTCACGAACATGCTTGTTGTGCAAGTATTACTTTCATTGACTACGTTTTGTGTTTTGTGTCTTCCAAATTATTCATGTGGTAAGTTTCATATATTTCATTTTAATCCTTATGTCACATATTATTATTCACGCTGTTATATGCGAGCTTTACATATGAATATTTAATTGTTTTATGTAAATCTTCTACACAAGCCTTGCCTTACGGATGCCATACGGCTTTCTGTCAAAAACGAACCACGTGGATTGTTCCAAGAACAATCGACATGTAAAAATGATTATTTTAAAAATGATTATTAACTTCCCGAAGGAGAAGTTTATGTTTTCATCAAAAAATCCGATTCGCTAATTTTATGTTTTCTCGACGTTTCAAGCCATTCTGAATCGAATGAGACCAAATTTGGAAAAAGTATGTGTGTGTGTGTGTGTGTGTGTGTGTGTGTGTGAACAGATTTTTTTGCCGTAAATCGACGTTTTTTCAAAAACGGCTGGACCGATTTTAAATTTTAAAGCCATTCGATGTATCGCAACGAGGACTAACGTTTATCAATTTTGCGCGACGATCAGCCAAGCCGTTTCTTTGTAAATAGCAGAAAAGTGAAAAATTTTTCGTCCACGTTTTAGCCCGCAGTTCTGAATCGATTTTGAAAATTCAAAAACCCTTCGAAAGATATTGGTGGAGATTCGTGCTGATGAGTTCTTGGTAGAGATCGGCCGAACCGTTTTCTTGTAATAAGTGTTGAAAATTTTTTTTCCACGATTTTTATTCTTATTATTTGGACGGTAGATACCATAGTCTTCTAGATCATACTAAAATATTACGGCCCTACGACAACTGGTATAGCTTTAAAAATTAGTCAAAGTTTGCAAAAATTGGTATCGTTTTTTTGGAAGGCGCTTGGAATTAAAATTTTCCACGATTTCGAGTCATCGACGTTATCAGTCCAAATTAGTTATTTGTTTTGTTGACAAAAAATCACATTTGATCACTAAACAATGACTAAAGAGGGATTATTGGATTTATATATCTCACAAATAGATGTAGATAAGATTCGGTATTTTGGGTTAATCCGCTTCAAATACGTATTTTGAACGTTTCAACAAAAATAAAACAATAATGCTAACCAGGTGTGAGCGGCCTTAAGGCATGATATGTTTAAATAATCGACTTAATCAATAACATATATGTGAGATTGAGAAACTTTTCAAATTGTGGCGATAACATTTTCAACTGTTTATTCTGAAAATAAAGCATTAAGCTGTTACCTGAACAACCTGCTATGATATTTTTGATCATTAAATTTATGATTTTTTGAGATTTCCAAATTTTATTAAAATAATAACTACAAAGAAAAGGTATCACCGATCTTCCCGAAATACGAAGATTTAAGAGAAACATTTTCCTCAAATACTAACATTTAAGAGAAATGTTTCTCAACTGTTATCTTTAAAATTTTTGGTCGAAATTGTTGCTCCTGTCTTCACATAACTAATTTATCCTTTACCTGTTGGTATATCCGGGTCAACAGTAGTATCCGGTTTAGGGGCAACAGTGACTTCCGGAGTTTCGCCTCCGTTTTCGCAACAATCAACATTTTCCGGCCAATCACAAACGTGCAAAGAATCGTGGTACAACAAACCGGGGCTGCATGTCTTATTGTGAGGCACTCCTGAAGAACATACATAGAACCTAAAAGGTAGTTAAAATTAGCGATGTCATTAGTAAAAAACCTGATTGGAATTAGAAAATCTTGATCGAATCAGACACTAGTTGATATTGATATTTTGCCTTGAGGCAAGTTACATGAACTTTCCGAAATGTGTAAATAATCGACTTAATCCATGATAGATAAATTAATTTATGAGTAGTTAAAAGTATTCGAAGTGGATTTATTTATTATTAAAAATCCAACACGTCAACCCGGTCGGTGTATTTTTTAAAAGCGAATTTTCAAAAATCAATATTTTTTATAATTGAGCTAGATTTGTAGGACTTCAATTGTTTAGCATGTTCATTAGGACCAAGTACTCTATCGTTGTACAAAGTAAATCGTCTAAATTTAGTTTTAACAAATGTCAAAACAACTACTCATTTTCTCAATCTTTGATGAATTTTTTATATTAAATTACTTGTCGTAAGGCCGTAATATTTCAGTAAGTTCTATAAGACCAATATATACATCGCCAAAGAAAGTTTAATAAAAATCGGCTTAATTTTTTTTTCTACAGTTAATTACAAGAAAACGGCTCGGTAGATTTTCACCTAAAGCTAATCAGTATCATTTCCAACTAATATTTTTCGAACAGTTTTTGATTTTTTAAAATCGATTCGGTAGTATGAGCTTAATTGCGGACGAAAAGTTTAACACTCTTTTTCAAATTACAAAGAAACAGCTCGGCAGATCTTCTCACAAAACTGACAAACTATAGTGCTCATTGAGATATATCGCATGGCTTTTAAATTTTTGAAATCGGTTCAGGCGTTTTTTTGACAAATGCCAAAAAAACGATACCAATTTTTGCAAACTTTGACGAATTTTTAAAGCTAAACGAGTTGTCGTAGGGCGGTAATATTTTAGTATGATCTAGAAGACTATGATGTCTACGATAAAAAAAATCATAAAAATCGTCAAATTTTTTTTTAAAAACTTTATTACAAGAAAACAGCCCGGCCGATCTTTACGAAAAACTAATCAGCACGATTCCCAATCAATATCTTTCGAACAGTTTTTGAATTTTCGGAATCGATTCAGAATTGCGAGCTAAAACGTGGACGATTTTTTTTCCACTTTTCTGCCATTTACAAAGAAACTGCTTGGCTGATCGTCGCGCAAAATTGATAAACGCCAGTCCTCATCGCGATACATCGAATGGCTTTTAAATTTTTGAAATCAGTCCAGCCGTTTTAGAGAAAACGTCGATTTACGGCAAAAAATCTGTTCACACACACGCACACACACATACACACAAACACACATACTTTTTCTAAATTTGATCTCATTCGATTCAGAATGACTCGAAATGTCGAGAAAACATAAAATTATCGAATCGGATTTTTTGATGAAAACATAAACTTCTCCTTCGGGAAGTTAAAAAAGTGTTTTTAATACTGTTTTTTTGAGTTTTTCGAATTTTTTAAAAATAGTAAAAATTGGAATTTGGGGATAATCCTAGTTTGGGCTATAGATAGGTCTATAAACAAGACTCTCTGAACATTTCAAGTGAATCGGTCGATTAAAACTCGAGAAATCGTGTCAACAGTACTGGAAAAGTCCGTTCTGAGAAAAACGCATTTAAAGTTTTGCGTGAAGCCAAACCAGTATGGAGACCGAGTCAGTAAAATGCCTATATCTCCGAAAATAATTGAAACTTCCAAATACCTTCTCGTACCCATATAGTTAAACTTTGAAAATATGAAATAAAAAAAACGATTTTTTTGAATTTCTACACTGGAATACTCCCTTAAGTCCAGATTTATCACTTACCCCGCGCAGTCTTCAGGATCTGCCAACATTGTTCCTTCAACAGACCTCTTGCATCGTTCTATGACGCTTTCGGGGATAAAATCAGTGGCAGCTGCAAGTAACAAAAAAATTCATAAAATTATCTACTTATCCAACAATTATCATTTTACATTACCTGTTCTCGGTGACTTGACCAAGTTTCCAGCCTTGCACCCGTCTATTATTGGATAATCGCACAATTTGATGTCATCGTTCCACTGCAAATCGTTGGGACAAGGCAGTAAAATTGGAACTCCTTTTCTGCACTGGTAGAAGGAATTGCAGTCTTCAGGATTTGCAAAAAGGACATCGACTGCTGAATCTTCAACAGGACAATTTACCATGGCAGGTACTTCTAGTGATGAAGATGTCTGCAAGTTGATGGTTAAAAAGAGGGTACTGAGGAAGAGTGGTTCTGAAAATATAATAGATTGATTAGAATTTGATTAACAACTAGTTAATATTGGTATTTTGCCTCGAGGAAAGTTACATGAACTTCCCGATATGTGTAAATAATTGACTTAATCAATAATAAACAAATTAATTTATGAGCGATTAAAAGTATTCCGAGTGAATTTATTATACTACACAATACAATATTACATAATTGAAAACGAACGACCACTTTGACTCGGAGTATTTTCAAAAAGCCACTTTGCAAAAATCAACAATTATTATAATTGAACCAGTTTCCGTAGGACTTTAATGGTTTATTAATACCAAGTACTCTGTCGTTATACCAAGTAAATCGTCTAATTTTAATTTTAACAAACGCCAAAAAAAAACTACTCATTTTCTCAAACTTTGATGAATTTTTAAAATTAAACTACTTGTCGCAGGACCGTAATATTTCAGTAAGTTCTATAAGACCATATATATATATCGCCAAAAAAAAGTTTCATAAAAATTGTCTTAATTTTTTTAAATTAAGTTTAAATTTAAATTAAATTTAAAGTTTTTGATTTTTTTAAATCGTTCGGTAGTGCGAGCTTAAATGTGGACGAAAAGTTTAACACTTTTTCGAAAATTCAAAGAAACGGCTTGGCTCGCCAATTTAACATATTGCTGGTGTATTTTTAAGAATGTGATTAATTTACTCGCCAGTCAAGTTGTTTTTTACTCATCAATTTTCCAGAATTCTTGTTCAGTTCATTATTTTGTTCAGTAAAGTTGTTTTTTTGCTGATTTTAATATGCTCGTTAGTAAGGTCCTTTATTTATCACAAATAAGTGCTTTTAATTTAATATTTTACTCATGTTTTCTTCAAGATTCTAATTAATTTGCCTGTTAGTAGAGTTATTTCTTTTTCGGCAAAAGCTGCATCTAATTTAATGTTTATTCATCAATTCTTCAAAATTCTTATTACTTTGCGCGTCAGTAGAGTTATTTCATAATTGACCTATGTAACTAATTAGTTACAAAACTCAATTATGATATAATTGTTTTTTTAATGCTATATTATAATATAGTATTAAAAAAACGGTTGAATTATAATAAAATCATAATTCGAACATACACCACGTATGTCCTTTTAAAAAAATTAAAAATAGGGAAATATTAATTATTACTAATTAAATCGATTATTTATACATATCAGGAATATGCAACTTGCCTTAATGCAAAAAATTAAATTAGAACTTTCTTACATCTTACCTTTCATTTTTATTATCATTTCACAAAATTACACAAATAGCACAACGATTAATTCAAGAACAATATTCGAGAGCGTTATAAATTTTTTTTTAGAAAAAATGCAAAACATATGACGACGATGATGATTAATAATCTTATCGGAATAAGATAAGATATTCAATATAATAATCTTTGAATTTTTTCGCGAATTCAATATCTATTCATGATATTTTGATATAAAAATATCAAGGCGGCAAAAAACAGTTTGGGAGGCATTGGTGGTCGTTATGGGGCCACTTTCAATAAAGTGGGTGAAATTTTGATGTTCGTAATTTGAAAATACAATTAACTCCACATTTTCACTGTACTACCATAAATCCCTATGTCATAATAATAATTTTATTAGTCCAACCATTTTTCATATATTTTATTTATTTATTTATTCATAAGCAAGCCGTAATAAATAATAATAAATGTTATTTGGAATGGAACGTTTTTCTTTGAATTTTGATCATAATTTTTCTGAGCTTATGGATAAACTTAAATCCGCTCTATCCGCTGACAAACATTTTTAAAACAATTCTTAAATATTAGCGACGGTAAGGTTATCGATCGATTCTTGCATAATCTGAGAGTAAAAATAATTAAATCTGAAGATACAACATTTTTTGAGAGGTATTAGGTTCCATACCAATCTATGGCAAAGCTGTAAATTTTTCCACAGAGTTTTTGAAATCACATTTGATTTGTTAGACTACCTTTATAAGGCATGCGTTGCAGTGGGTAAACCATTTATTTAATTTGTGTTAGCTACCTCTTGGACTTACATACCACATAATTCCATATTCACAATCAGTTTAGTTATTTAGTTTATGCCGGGCCAGCTAGTATATATATGTACAAATAAAACAAATCGTCCATTTACATAAAAATATATATTTCGTTTATCCACGCCAAAAATAAATATTCCTGAAGGCTGAATAAAAATCAAAACTTAAAATCTATATCACAATAAAACAAATAAATGTCGTGGAAAATGTTATTAAATATCATTCTTGTCCTTAAAATTAGTGGCAGTTAAATTTCTTTCGGCGGCTTCGTAGAAGTTGTCGTTGAGGTTCTCCTAGAAAGAAAAAAATACAACATGAGTACTTAAAATTAATATAGAATAAATAAATTAAAGTAAGTGAATAATAAATTAAAGCAAAGATAGATTGAAGTGAAACTTCGTAATGCGTAAATGATAAAAGGAAGGGGTGGAAATTGATTTTTAAGACAAAATTCACATCCATTCCAGTTAGACTCACTGTTTTCTTAAAAAATCTAACATTTTTAAATTATTTGCAACATTTTCGTACATGCTTTAACATTTTGAGACAATCTACAACATTTTCAGACAGTTTATAACATTTTCAATTAATTTACAACAGTGTCAAACATTACACAAGTATATGAGACAATTTTCAACATTCTCAGACATTTTGCAAAGTTTTCGAATAACTTAATTGCTACATTCCAGACATACCACAACATTATCCGCAATATTTATAAATAATTTTCAACATTTTTAGCCTATTTACAACATTCTCGCAAACTCCACAACATTTTCAGACAGTATAATAACAATTTCAGACAAATTCAATTTACAACATTTTCAGACATTCTGCAATATACAATTAGGTAAAATGCAACATTTTGAAACAATTTACGACATTTAGACTACTTATAACATTCTCAGACACTTGATAACATTTTAAGAAATTAGAATTTATTATTAAATTAACATTTATTAATAAATTAGCATTTTTAGAAATTCCTAAAGATTTTCAGACACTCCACAACAATCTCAAGCACACCACAACATTTTCAGACACTCGACAATAATCTTAGACACCCAACAATAGTCTTAGACAATTTGCAATATTAGACAATTTATAAAGTTTTCAGATAATTAGCAATATCTTTAGACAATCTATAAAATTTTCAGATATTTTGCAACATTTTTTAACAATCGGCAGCATTATCAGACATTCTACAACATTTTTAAACAATTTACAACAATTTCATAAAGCCTACAACAATTCCCACAATTATTCCACAATATTTTTTTATATACAACATTTTTAGACACTTTACCAGACACTCCACAACATTTTCAGACATTCCACAACAATCTCAAGCACTCGACAACATTCTCAAGCACTCAACAACATTCTCAGACACTCGACAACACTCTCGGACAATGCACAACATTCTCAGTAACTCCACAATATTTTCAGACACTCAACAACATTTTCGGACACTCCACAACATTCTTAGACTCTCCACAACATTTTCAGTAACTCAACAACATTTTCAGACACTCCACAACATTCTTAGACTCTCCACAACATTTCCGGACAATCTACAACATTGTCAGAGAATCTATAACATTTTCACACACTGCACAACATTGTCAAGTCCTTGACAACATTCTCTGACACTCAGCAACATTTTCAAACATTCTACAGAATGTTCAGGCATTCTATAATGTTCTCAAACACTCTACAACATTCTAAGATACTCCACAACATTTTCAGATGCTCCCCAATATTTTAAAATAATCCATAACATTTTGAGAGACTCCACTACATTCTCAGACACTCGGCAACATTAGCAGATAATTTATAACATTTTCAGACAATATACATTTTTCAACATTTTGAAAAAAACTTACATTATTTTCAAACTAGCTACAAAAATTTTAGCTTATTTAAAAAAATTTCAGTCTACAACAATTTAACGCATTCTACAAAATTCGACACACCAAAAAAAAACCGAATTGCTAGTTTTATGTTTTCTCGACGTTTCAATCCATTCTGAATCGAATAAGATCAAATTTGGATGTGTGTGTGTGTGTGTGTGTGTGAACAGATTTTTTGCCGTAAGCCGACGTTATCTCAAAAACGGCTGGTTCGATTTCAAAAATTTAAAAGGCATTTGATGTATCTCGACGAGGACTATTGTTTGCCAGTTTTGTGCGACGATCTGCCAAGCCGTTTCTTTGTAATTTGGAAAAAAGTGTTAAACTTTTCGTCCACATTTAAGTTCATACTACCGAATCGATTTTAAAAATCAAAAACTGCTCGAAAGATATTAGTTAGGGAAAAATACTGATTAGTTTTAGGCGAAAATCTACCGAGCCGTTTCCTTGTAATTAACCGTTGAAAAAAAAAATTTAGGCCTATTTTTATGGAACTTTTTTTTGGCGATATATATCATGGTCTTATAAAACTTACTGAATTATTACGGCCTTACGACAAGTAGTTTGATTTTAAAAATTCATCAAAGTTTGAGAAAATGAGAAGTTCTTTTGACATTTGTTAAAATTAAAATTAGACGATTTACTTGGTATAACAATATAGTACTTGGTATTAATAAACCATTAAAGTCCTACGGAAACTGGTTCAAATATAAAAATCGAAAATTTGCTTCAAGAAAATACTCCGAGTCAAAGTGTTCGTTCGTGTTCAATTATGTGCAATAAATCCACTCGGAATACTTTTAATCACTCATAAATTAGTTTATTTTTTATTGATTAAGTCGATTATTTACACATATCAGGAAGTTCATGTAACTTGCCTCAAGGCTAAATACCAATACCAACTAATTATAATTGTATTGACGCAAATTGTAAATATTGAATTTAAATAAAGTATCTATCTATCTATTAATTACAATTTTCACTTACCATCGACAACAAGTCAACCATTTCCTCATTCGCGTTCTCATTAAACGACTCAATCAGTTCGTATTGCATTAGGGAATTTGTTCTATTCTGTTGATCCTGGGGCTTGGGGGGGCCAAATGCAAAACCGTCATTGCTCTCACCCGGGTGCTTATTATACTTCCAACCGAGACCATCATCGTCCATAACAGTCTCCTGATACTCCTGAATCAGATAATTAGAACCATTACCATCCTTTATCTGCTGAATCTGGCCAATCGGAGACATGTTCTGGGATACTAGAGTTAAATATTGGTCGAAATTGCTGATGTCGTAGATCTGGTGGTTATTGGTGGTTTGGCTGTTGTTGTTTACGGTGTCCTCTTGGGGTTCTACGACGGGTTCCTGGTTGAGAACCTTGTTGGAGGAGGACAAGTGGGGTCTTTTGAAGGATCTTATCTCGTCTTTGGTGAGGATGCGGGCGCAGAATTTGTCTGTGGTCGTTGGAACGATCTGGGAAAAATTAATTTGGGTTTAGAAATTTGTTTTTGTGATTGTTATGCCAAGAGTTTATGTACTTACTTGTTCTGGTAAAATAGAATTTTCCGGTAAATTGTTTTGGTCGATTGGTAGTTGGAGTACTTCTGTGTCGTGGCTCTGAAAAATTTAAAATTATTCATTATTTTAATATAAATAATATATATACATTATTTATTTGTTTGTCTGAAAATGTTATAGATAGTCTAAAAATGTTGTAATGTATTCTGAGTGGATATAGATATTAATTTGGAAATATGAACAAACAACACTCTTTTTTGCACTATTTTATTAACAACATGTAGCGGATAACACATAATGCTAATTTAGGTTTCCATATTTTAAATTTTAAATTATAACAAGCTGATCATGAGACAAACCTAGTCTCGAAACGTTTGTGAAAATTATTATTTAATAAAATAGTGCAAAAAAGAGTGTTGTTTGTTCATATTTACAAATTAATATATATATATATATAAACATTATTTATTTGTTTGTCTGAAAATGTTGTAAAAGTGTTTGAAAATGTTGTGGAGTGTATAAGAATGTTGTGGATTGTTTGGAATTGTTGTCAAGTGTATGGAATTGTTGTCGAGTGTCTTATTATGTTGTGGAGTATCTGAAAATGTTGTGGAGTGTCTGAAAATATTGTCGAGTGTCTAAGAATGTTGTCGAGTGTCTGAAAATGTTGTGGAGTATCTGAAAATGTTATTGAGTATCTGAAAATGTTTTGGAGTGTCTGAAAATGTTGTGGAGTGTCGGTAAATGGTGTAGAAAGTCTGAAATTGGTGTGGAATGTCTGGAATTGTTGTGGAGTGTCTGAAAATGTTGTCGAGTGTATGAGAATGTTATGGAGTGTCTGAAAATGTAAATGTGAAAATGTTGTCGAGTGCTGAGAATGTTGTATGTGTTGTATTGTTGAATGTGTGTATGTCTGAGAATGTTATAAAAATCCTGAAAAAAATTTACATTGTCTGAAAAAGTTGTAAAGTGTCTGAAAGTATTATAAATTGTATGAAAATATTGTAAGATGTCTGAAAATGTTGTAGATTGTCTGAAAACGTTGTGAGTTGTCCGAAAATATTGTGAGTTGTCTGAGAGTGTTATAGATTGGCTGAAAATGTTGTAAATTGTTTATGAATGTTGTAGAATGCCTGAAAATGCTGTAAGTTGTGTTAAAATATTATAGATAGTCTGAAAATGTTGTAGATTGTTTCAAAATTGTATTAAGTGTCTGAGAATGTTGTAGATTGTCTGAAAGCATAGTCAATTGCTTCAAATGTTGTAAATTGTCTAAGAATGTTGTAGATTATCTTAGAATGTTATACATATTCTGAAAATGTTCTAGATTATCTGAAAATGGTGTAGAATGTATGAGAATATTGAAGATTGTCTGCAAAAGTTGTAAATTGCTTGAAAGTGTTGTAAGTTTCCTAAACATACTGTATATTATCTGAGAACGTTGTAAAATGCCTAAAATATTGCAGATGGCCTGAAAATGTTATATAGTCTGTAAAAGTGTTATAAATTGTCTGAAAACGTTATAGAATATGTGAAAAAATGTAGATGGTTAAAAATGTTGCAAATTGTCTGTGATTGTTGTATAATGCTTGATAAAATTGTAAATTGTCTGAAAATATTGTAAATTGAGTAAAAATATTGTAAAAAACCTAAAAATATTGCTATTAAGTCTGTGAAAAATGTTATAAAGTTGCCTGAAAGTATTGTGAGTTATCTGAAAGTAATGAAAATTGATGAAAGTATTGTAGAATATGTGAAAGTGTTGTTGATTATTTGAAAATGCTAAAAGTATCTGAAAATGTTATAAATCGTCTGAAAATGTTATAAATCGTCTGAAAATATTTTGGAATGTCTGAAAATGTTGCAAAGTGTCTGAAAATGCTGCAAAGTGTCTGAAAAAGTTGTAGATTGTCTGAAAATGTTGCAAATTGTCTGTGATTGTCGTAGAATGTCTAATAAAATTGTTGATTGTTTGAAAATGTTGTACCGTGCCTGAAAATGTTGTAAGTTGCCTGAAAATATTGTAAGTCATTTAAAAATGGTATAGATAATCTGAAAATCTAGTAGATAGTCTGAAAATGTTGTGAAATGTGTGAAAATGTTGTAGATTAGCTTAAAGAATTGTAGAATGTCTGAAAATGTTGTAAGTTGTCTGTGATTGTCGTAGAATGTCTGAAAAAATTTTTAGATTGTCTGAAAATGTTGCAAATTGTCTACAATTGTCGTAGAATGTCCGAAAATGTTGTAAGTTGTATGAGAAAGTTATGGATTGGCTGAAAACGTTGTAGAATGTCTGAGAGTGTTGTGATTGTCTAAAAATATTGTAAATTATCTAAAAATGTTATAAAGTCTGTGAAAGTGTATAATATCTAAAAAAATGTAGATTGTTTGGAAACAATGCAGATAGTCTGAAAATGTTGTAGTGAAAATATTGTAAATTGGCTTAAAGAATTGTATGATGACTGAAAATTTGTAGATTGTATAAAAAAGTTTTAGATTTTCTAAGAAAGTTGTAAGTTTTATAGAAGAATTCAATGTAACTAACTGAAACTAATATTGCTGAGGCTTTCGTAAAAATGTTGAACAAGTAGAGCTCCATACAGTTCATCAATACGAGTTCACTAAAAAACAATTTCTTCAACTTAATATTTTTCATTTCTATCATTTATTTGTCGACTTATCAAACTAGAAACCAAACACAATTTGCTCCCATAACTCCCATTCTACTTACTTCTCTCTGTGTCACCGACAAGACTCCGTTCTCTCCAATGCTCAAAACACAATTCTTTAGGTTCATCAGCTCCTGCAGATGTTCGATGGGCAAAGGGACGACCTCATGTTCTTCATCGTGTTTTTTCTCGATGATTTCGTCCTGGTCCTTGTTATCTAAGGAGCCTTTTTCTTCGGTATCATCGGCTATTTTGATGCTGACTCCATTGTCGTAGGTTATGCCGTTGTAGAATTTTGTTAGCTCGGAATAATCTATCATCGAGTTGGCGTCGTCATCTTTCATATTCGCGGTGGATATATATTTCACGCTGATGGAAGCTTTAACTGTGGGGAAAGAAGAAAAGGAAATATAAAATTAATTCAAATTATTGCTGTGAAGTGTTACGAACATTGTAAAATATTATAGGCCTACGAAAAGTGAGTAAATTGTAAAAATTTTAATAAATTTTTGGAATTTGGAATAATGGGCCGCGCCTTTACAATGTACACCATGTATGACCTGAGCGTTATTTATTAGATTATTTTTTAATGGAAAGTGATTTTTCTATTACTATTATTCTCGTCGTAGGAGTTCGTTTAGCCTTTTTTTAAAGATAACTCGTAAGTAGAAATTTTTCTGTTTTTTTCTGTGCACACTTAAAGAAAATACACTTATAGTTCAATCGTCAGTAGAGTTTTTTTATATCCTATTGTATTTTGCTCGTCTGTAGAATTTTTCTGACAACGTTTTTATTTGAGTGTCAGTACAGTTTCTTCGCAATTCTTTTAGTTTACTCATCGGTGGAATCCTTGTATGTCTTATTTTTAGTTTTCTCGTCAGTAGAGTCTCTTTTTAACTTCCCGTAGGGCAAGTTATAGTAATCGCAAAAAAAACGAAAATGAAAATTTTTATATATCTTTACGTTTCAAAGGTTTCTGAATATTTTGGCATACCTTAGAAAAAAAATGGATGTATGTGCGTGTGTGTGTATGTGCGTATATTTGTGTGTGTGCGGATACAAATTTTCGTCGACGATTTCGGGAACACCGATCAACCGTTTTGAATAATTCAAAAAACATTCGATTCGCATTGATAAGGAGACGTGCTGATTAGTTTTTGGCCAAGGCAGGTCTAGCCGTTCCGAAGATACGGGGCAAAAAGTGCCAAAAACGGTAACTCAGTTTTTAAGAGAACGGAGCGTCCGATTTGAATAATTCAAAAAACATTTTACTTGTATTGACAAGATGAAGAACTGATCAAATTTTCATAAAGGCAGGTCTAGCGATTTCGGAGATCTAATGAAAAAAGTAAAAAAAATACCATTTGGCGGTCAAAAATGATCATTAGACATATGCGCATCAAATTATCAGATATTTTATAGAGATTTTAGTGTAAAGTATAAATTTTGTTTGCATTCCTATGGGTTCCGTACCAATGTTTATTCGTTAGACGGCGACGCGGCGCTTACGCGCTTCGATATTTCGTCTGTATGCAGTTAAAACAGTACGATTGTTTTGAAAAAAAAAGTTCAGAATTTCCAAAATATTTCAAAATAATTTTTTTTTCAAAAAGTCTTTTTTTTTCAAAAAAAGTAAATTTTTGTCAAAAATGTATAGTTTCTCAAAAATCAATTTTTTTCAGAGTAAATTTTTTTCAAAAATGTTAATATTTTAAAAAAAAAATTTTGGTACGGGAAGTTCCAGCAATTTGCCTTAAGGCATGATGCCATGCGTCCCACTACTTTTTCTTGTGTCAGTTCGATCATCAGTAGAGCTCCCTTTTGTCTCATTTTTAGTTTGCTCATCAGTAAAATCCTTTTTTCTACCCACAATTTTATTTGAGCATCAGTACTGTCTCTTTGTACTTTTATTTTTGGTTTGCTCGTCAGTAGAGTCCCTTTTTATCTTATTTTTAGTTTTCTCGTCAGTAGAGTCACCTTTTCATTTTATTTTCAGTTTGTTTGTCAATAGAGTCCTTTTTTCACTTGACAATTTCTGGTGTATTTTTTAATACACGAATTAGAATGAAATGTGTTCATTAAATTACATGTACTATAAGTTATATATCAATTGGAAAACGCATTAATTAGTTTTGGTAAAAACCAAAAATTTTATTTTTGAACTAACCAATTAAAATATTATATCAAATCTTATTAAGTCCTTTACCATTCTTACCAATTTTCCCATCTTTCTGATTTGGAAGCGTACTCCGCTTAGGCTTTGGAATATTAATAACTCTCTTCGTATTAGGTTTTTTCACTTCGTGCACATTTGCAATATGTTTTTGCAAGGAGCCGTCTGTGGCAAAACTCAATTCACAACCTGAAAAATAATAAAACAGATAGTAAATACAACAAATGTATTTTACACAAATGTGTTGTCAATTTTACCGTCTTTCGGGCATTGCACTCTATCAACTGCTCTACATTTCTTCAAATGTGACGTCAGGTGATCTTTTCTGAAAAATTTTCTATCACAGAATTCATTTTGGCAAGGAAATCTACGGTCGTTTACATGAGTCCTCTCGTGACGTCTCAGTTTACTTGAAGTTGTAAAGGACGCTGTGCAATTCTAAAAAATATAAACGAAAGATACAATGACATGTCGTTTTTTTCAATTTTTTACATTTATTTATACAGTATTACTATATTTTTATAATCACATACATCCTAAAAAATCCCTTAACAAACTTCAGAAAGATTTATCAAAATCCGAATAATCGTTTAGGAAGATTATCCTTTCATACACCATTACAGAAGAATTTTATACATAACATATATATATATATATATATATATATATATATATATTTAGATAGATAGATAGATACTTTATTCAATTTCAACATTTATATATATATACTAGCTGACCCGGCTAACGTTTTTCCATGAAAAATATTTCTAGTGTAAAATGTTTAGTATAAAAATCCATTTTTTCTGAAGTATGCCAAAATGTTCAGAAACCTTCAAAACGCAGAGATCCATCCAAAAATTACAAAAAAAAAATTAAGGGCGGACAATTGTTATTACTTGGGAGTATGAAAAATAGATATTAATTCTCAGAATTATTAAGAATCGGTTAAAGCAGTATCGAAGGAGTAAAAGAACGAACTTTGTGACACAGGAATTTTATATACCAGATATTAAATTTATTAAAGTGATTTAATTATTATTATTACCTCGAATTGGCATTCATAAGGTCGATCACCAGTGTGCTGGCGGACATGGGCCTTCAGTCGACAAGGCAGATCAAAAATTTTTCCACATTTTGGCCATTTGCATTTAAGTTCATCGTGTTTATACTGATGGGAACGAGAATGGGACGAAAGAGCACTGAAACTGAAATATGCATTTCCGCACCAATCCAAAGGACACCTGAAATAATAATTATAGTAAATGATTTATCTATACTATTTGTTGTTGTTGTTTATAAATGCATTACTTGTAAGGTGCATATTTTGGATCGTGGTTCTTTAGATGTTTCTCCAGATCCCTTTTCGTGCAGAAGACTTCTTGACAGTCTGGTACGGTACATTTGCATAATTTTGGCCTCGCGTGCAATTTCTGATGAACTTTTAAATTGTAAACTGTTGTAAAGCTGTAACATAATTTACAATACATATATATACATACATATATATATATATATATATATATATATATATTTAGTTCTTTTCCAACCTTTTAGTACATCCTTCCTCGTTGCAAGGAAATGTTTTATTATTCGAATGAGTATCCTTGTGCCTCTTCAATTTAAATGCAGTGTAGAAGGCCCATTTGCAATTCTCAACATCGCACTGAAATTATATATTATTATAATAGTTATATATTTATATTGAACAGTGAGCGAAGGAAGTGAAACTTTTTAATATAGAAATGAAAACAAAAAGAGATGGAAATTGATTCTAAGTGAACTCGAAATGGTTCTTTTAGACAAACTATACTTTTTTATCATTGCAAATTTTTAAATGATTGCTTAATAATTATTTTACAAAGTTTTACTGATATTTCACAACAATTTTAGAGAGCATACGACACTTGCAGATAGTTTACAAAATTTTAATACGTTTTATGACATTTTTAGATTTCTTACAACACTTTCAGACAATTTGCAAAATTTTTAGGCCACTTACAACATTTTTAATCCATCTACAACATTTACAAACCATTTTTAGACAATTTACAACATTTTTAGGTCACTTACAACATTTTTGCTGACCATTTACATCAATCTTAGACAATTTACAATATTTTTAAACCATCCACAACATTTACAGACCATTTTCAGACAACTTACAATATTTTTAGATAACTTACAACAATCTCAGACAACTTATAACATGTTTAGACCATTTACAACATTAGATAATTTACAATATTTTCAGACAATTTACTTTTCCAGACAATTTTCAATATTTTTAGGCCACTTACAACATTTTTAGACCATCTACAACATTTACAGACCATTTACATGAATCTTAGACAATTTACAACATTTTTTGGTCGTTTATAATATTTTTAGACTTTAGACTTACAACTTTTTCTGGCATTTTACAACTTTTTCATGCAATTTACAGAATTTTAGGCAATCTGCAACAATTTTAGTTGTCTTACAACACTCTCACAGACAATCTGCGACAAACTTTAGACCATTTACAACATTCTCAGACGTTCTACAACACTGAAAGGCAATTTACAGTATTTTTTATCAATCTACAACATTTTCAAACAATCTATAACAAATTTCAGACCACTTACAACATGTTTAGATCATTCACAACAATTTGTGACCATTTCCAGAATTTTTAGGCAATCTACAGCATTTTTAAGCAATTTACAATTTCACACCATTTACAACATATTTAGACGTTTTGCAAAAATTTTGGACAATATACAACATTTATAAACTATTTACAATATTGAAAACCATCAACAACATTGTCAGACAATTTACAACAAATTTATTCAATTTTTGGCATTTCTGGACAACTTCGAACACCCTTAGTCTATATCTTCATATAATATACAACACTTTCATACAACCTAAAACACTTTTAGATTACATACAATATTTTTAAACAACTTACAACATTTTTGGATTACTTTCAACATTTTTAGACAATTGAAAATATTTTCAGACAATGCATAACATTTTCAGATGTTTATGATACTTTTAGTAAATATTTCCTCACATTACTATTAAACAATTTACAACAAATAATCTTTGATTGATGATCCATCTAGCATCAGGTGTTTCACTTCAATTAATAGTTATATTATTTTTTTCTACCTTGAATGGTTTATATCGGTAATGCTGTAGAATATGCGTCTTCAGTACAATCAGTCTGGGAAACAATCGACTGCAATCAGGTATAGGGCACACCCATTTCCTTTCATCGTTCAAAACTATGCTGTACAAGTCTTCGACTGATAGGCCAAACTTTTGAAGAATTTGTGTGATTAAGGCATCGGAGGATTTGGAATCTAAAAGTAAATGATAATTGAACAGTAACAACTACGAGTTTATGACTATAGTATTATCTTACGCGTAATAATATCTTCCAATTGACTGTAAGAGGCTTTGTAAAAAGGTGTAACACTAGCGACTCCTTTATTGTCATCGTTGATCTCGTCCAAGGAGTTCGGGAGAATATAGATTTGATCAGCTTCCGAATCTTCATCTTCGTCTGTACTTGTTATCAGATCATCTACATTTTGTTCAGAGTTTTTCTCGACGACAATAAGACTAGAATCGTAATGGACTGAATTCGTTTGAGAGCCTGAATTTAATATGTCGACATTGTTGTCTTCGTTTGATTGATTTTCACTTTTGTCGAGTACCTTCATGTTTGCCTAAGGACACTGTTATTGTTATTTACATTTTTATTGATATGTTTGTATTATTATTTATTATTGTTGATTTTATTCCACGGATGACGTTTATGTTGACCTTAACCACAAATATATTTGAAGTTTTACACAAAAACAAAACGACTGGCGCTGTGTGCAAATTTTAAGACGTACCAACAGGTAGAAAGTGATGGACTAAGGAGAGAGAATGTAATTTACACGGATAGAGGAAATGAGTTATGATGAAATTAATGAATTTTGGATATTTTTATTGTTATTTACCTTATTTATTTGCCTTAAGGCACGATGCCATGCGCACCACTAGTTTTTGAATTATTCAAATCGAGTACTCCGTTCTCTCAAAAACTGAATACCGTTTTTGGCACTTTTTGCCCCATGCCTCCGAAACGGCTAAAGCTGTCTTCACCAAAAACTAATCAGCACGTCTTCACGTCGGTAGGAATCGAATGTTTTTTGAATTATTCAAATTGGTTAATCCGTTTTCGCGAAATCGTCGACGAAAATGTGTATCCGCACACACACACATTCATCCATAGACAAATAAGCATAAATAGATCGCTATTCATCCATTTTTTATAAGGTATGCTAAAATGTTCAAAAACCTCTGAAATGTAAAGATATGTAAAAATTTTCATTTTCAATATTTTTGCGATTATTATAACCATAGATAAATAAGCATAAACTATAACTATAAGACTAACTTACCCTATTATAACTTACCCTACGGGAAATTAATAATAATTATTTGTTATTTTCGGTTTATTTAAATATACGTATTTTAAGTTCAGTGATTTTTTTTTAATTTGTGCTATCAAAAATTTAGAAATTCTGATGTTAAATGATATATAATCAGTTAAAATAATATTAAATCAGTCTATTTCTTTTTCTTGAAACTACGAATATAATTTCTGATTTTATATTTTGCCGCCGAAAAACTCGCAGTTGAAATGTTTTTAATGTTGTTCATCCTGATAAAACAAAAATTGAGAAGAAATGTCGAAGTGGTTTATGGAAAAATTAAAGTTAAATTCGAAAATAAAATAATAGTAAAAAGGTCAGTGCTAGTATTATATCATAGTAAATAGTAAACGAATTAGTAAATTTATTATACGTTCAAAACACATATAGTTTAAATATCAAATCTTAACTTTAAAGAAGTCATCGTTAATTAGGTTATTATAACCAACAAACTTCAAACATGTCTGAAGAAACAAATACAAAGAAAACAATTAAAATTGAACCGATGGATGATTATCCTCATGTGAAACAGGAATTTGATGATTATGAAAATACGTCAGATTTGTGTACGGATGATAATGATGATATATGTCTACAGCAATTTCTAAAATCTGAGGTTACAATTGATGAGGAAATAAAACAAGAGACGATTGATGACCAAGATAATGTGACTAGTACAAACAGAACAGTTTTAGATGAAAAACCTTACATATGTCAAGAAGAGATCACTAAATCAAGTAATTTAGTGGATAATAACAAAACTTTTGAAAAAATTTCAGGTAAAACAACTAATAAGTTGAAACCTTATGAATGTGAAATATGCCATAAAACATTTGCATCAAAACAAACCTTACAAAGACATGGACAAGTCCACACTGGAGAACAGCCTCATGAGTGTAAAATATGCAATAAAAGATTTACACGGTTAAGTAATTTAAAAATGCATTTAACAGTGCATACCGGAGAACGTCCTTTTATTTGTGAAATTTGTAATAAAACATTCAGAACAAAACCATGCTTAAACCGACATGAAATGGTTCATACTGGAGAACGGCCTCATGAGTGTAAAATATGCAATAAAAGATTTACACGGTTAAGTAATTTAAAAATGCATTTAACAGTGCATAGTCAAGAATACCCTTATAATTGTGAAATATGCAATAAAGCATTCAGATTAAAACATATGTTAAGTGAACACAAAATTTGTCACATAGAAGAACGCCCTTATAACTGTGAAATATGCAATAAAAAATTCAAAACAAAAGGATGCTTAAAACAACATAAAACAATTCACTCTGGAGAACGACTTTATGTGTGTATAATTTGCAATAAAACATTTACAAAGTCATCTCATTTAAGGAGGCATTTATCAGTGCATACTGGAGAACGGCCTTATAAATGTGAAATATGTAATAAAGCATTCAGAATAAAAGAAATGTTACAAGATCACAAAAAAATTCACTCGGACCAACACGCTTTTAATTGTGAAATATGCAATAAAAAATTCAAAGTAAAGCATTACTTAATCCAACACAAAATAACCCATACTAGAGAACGTTTTCATAAGTGCAAAATATGCTATAAAAGATTTTTATGTGCAAGAAATTTGAGTTTGCATTTATTAGTGCATGCCGGAGTACAGCCTTATGCAACGAAACAATCACAAGAAAACCAGTAAATTAATGGAAAATGAAAGAGTACATACTGGGGAATCCTTTGCAAGAAACAAACAATCAATGGAACTTTTGAATGATTTATAAATCTGTCCAATCTTATAATTCTTTTCACTTACTCGAGTTATATTGTTAGGATATTAGATGTAATTTATGTATTATATATTTCTGTAACGACTCTGTTCATTACTCATCAGTGTATTGTATGTAATTGTTGAATAATGTAACTATAAATATTTAAATTATTATAAATATAACATTGTAAATGTTTTGTATTTGCTGAAGTTAAAAATAAATATACATCCTTCAAGTTTTAATAGATAACATATTTGGCATTATAGTACAATTTATTAACTTTCCGCAGTGTGTGTTATAGTAATCGCAAAAAAATCGAATTGAACATTTTTATATATCTTTACATTTCAAAGGTTTCTGAATATTTTGGCATACCTTAAAAAAATGGATGCATGTGTGTGTGTGTGTGTGAACATTGATCAACCGATTTGAATAATTCAAAAAACATTCGATTCGTATTGATGTGGAGACGTACCGATTAGTTTTTGGTATAGGCAGGTCCAGCCGTTTTGAAGATACAGGGCAAAAAATGCAGAAATTTGGATTAGATCCATAGAGTTGCGCGTGAGCATGTCGTTATAGCTGAGTTGGTTGGCGCGTCACCGCAGTTTTCGTTCGCGTTAGAACATAAAAGAAAGTCAAAACTGATCGGACTTGAATCCCACGTTTGTAATTTTTTTTTTAACACTTTTTCTGTTTGTATAGTTAGTTGATACTACATAAACTATTTAACTTCCCGAAGGAGAAGTTTACGTTTTCATCAAAAAATCCGATTCGTTTTCTGGACGTTTCAAGACATTCTGAATCGAATGAGAAAAAATTTGGAAAAAGTATGTGTGTGTGTGTGCGTGTGCATCAACAGATTTCTTGCCGTAAATCGACGTTTTCTCTAAAACGGCTAGATAGATTTCAAAAATTTAAAAACCATTCAATGTATCTCGTTGAGAACTAGCATTTATCAATTTTGGGCGACGATCAGCCAAGCCGTTTCTTTGTAAATCGCAGAAAAGTGAAAAATTTTTCGTCCACGTTTTATCCCGCAATTCTCAATCGATTTTGAAAATTCAAAAACTGTTCGAAAGATATTGGTTGGAAATCGTGCTGATTAGTTTTTGGTAAAGATTGGCCGAGCTGTTTTCTTGTAATGAAGTGTTGAAAATTTTTTTTGACGATTTTCATGATTTTTTTTTTTGACGGTAGATACCATAGTCTTGTAGATCATACTAAAATATTACGGTCCCACAACTCGTTTAGCTTTAAAAATCCGTCAAAATGTGCAAAAATTAATATCGTTTCTTTGGCATTTGTCAAAATTAGACCTTTGATTGACATTTTCTCAATAACGCCTGAACCGATTTCAGAAATTTAAATTTTTTTTATGTATCTCAATGAGGACTATCATTTATCAGTTTTGTGCGACGATTTGCCAAGCCGTTTCTTTGTAATTTGGAAAAAATTGTTCGTCTACATTTAAGCTCACACTACCGAATCGATTTTAAAAATTCGATAACTGTTCGAAAGATATTAGTTGGGAATGATACTGATTAGTTTTAGGTGAAAATCTACCGAGCCGTTTTCTTGTATTTTACTGTTGAAAAAAAAATTGAAGCCGATTTTTATGGAACTTTTTTTGGCGATATATATCATGGTCTTATACAACTCATTGAAATATTACGGCCTTACAACAAGTAGTTTAATTTTAAAAATTAATCGAAGTTTGAGAAAATGAGTAGTTTTTTTGACATTTGTTAATATTGCAATTAGAGGATTTGCTTGGTATAATGATAGTAGTACTTGGTCTCAATGAACATACTAAGCCATTAAAGTCCTGCGGAAACTGGTTCAATTATAATAATTGTTGATTTTTAAAAATTTGCTTTTAGAAAATACTCCGAGTCAAAGTGTTCGTTCGTGTTTAATTATGTGTAATAAATCCACTCAGAATACTTTTAATCACTCATAAATTAATGTATTTTTTATTGATTAAGTCGATTATTATCGGGAAGTTCATGTAACTTGCCTCAAGGCAAAATACCAATACCAACTAGTTAGATTTTATTTATATATATTTCATTCAAACATGTATAAACAACGTCGTCTAATCTAATAAGTTTTCACATTTTGCCTACAAAAACAAATAATAAAAATTCTAGTTTTTATAATATTTATTCATAGACATTTTTGTTGACTGATTATTTTTATTCTTCGAATGTTTAATTACGGTACGGGAAGTTCCAGCAATTTGCCTTGAGGCACAATGCCATACACCACTAGTTTCACATATCATTTCTCACACAAATTATTTGCATAGGAATTATAAACATTATTATAATTTAGTCCATTATCGATTATCCCCAATTCCATATGAATATGAGTATGAATAATATGTATTCATATTGCCGAAATTGTGTCGAATGCCGGAAATGCTTTTGGCAATGTGCATTCGCTCCTCAATTTTGCACTCGGATGATTTTTGCGCGGAATTGATTATTAATCATCTATGGGAGCCAACAAACGAGAGTGCGTTCATATCAGTGGTTGTTGTAAAATGTAACCGGGAACGACGGCCTATGGCAGGTTAACAACGACCGACGACGACCGTCCGACCGGAACGCGAATTGATAAAGCAAAGCGGTCGTGACATGCAATTATGGGCAAATGACGCGGAAAGGACGCTTTTTGAATAATTATCAATTTTCGAAATGGAAAATGGAAACATATATAAACACACACATATCTAACATGTGTGGAACTGATTGTGAATTTTTGCACATTTTTGAAGTAAAACTTCTTTAGACTCGACTAGGGTGTGAATCCGTACAAATGCAACGGAAGTGCGTTACGGCAGATAAGATAAGAGTTAAGTGCCAATGATTCGTCATTCGCTCTGGATGATATCATTTCTATACGGGTCGATTGTGATTAGTCGTCGTGTATGTGAATAGAGATCTGCCGTTGTATGCGTAACGGCATCAACGTTGTATGCGACCGATATCAACAAGAAAATCGGCATAGACAGTTAAATAAACATTTTAAAGTTACATCGTAGTACAATTCTTGATTTAATGAAAAATGTCTGAATCCGAAGAATATTTTACCCTGTTTCTTGATAATGATAAAACAAATTAAACATTTGTACTAAACGTAAGTTTATTAATTAGAAATTATTAACTTCCCATGGAGCAAGTTATAGTAATCGCAAAAAAAATCGGAAATGAAAATTTTTATACATCTTAGAAGTTTTTGAACATTTTGGCATACCTTACAGTTAAAAAAAATCGATACATATGTGTGTATGTGTGTATGCTTGGCTACAAATTTTCGTCTACGATTTTGGAAACACGGCTCAAGTGATTTGAATAATTCAAATTCACTGATTCCATTGATAGGGAGATGTGCTGATTAGTTTTTGGCAAAGGCAGGACCAGCCGTTTTGGAGATACGGGACAAAAAGTGCAAATAATAGTAATTCAATTTTTGAGACAACGGGGCGTTCGATTTGAATGATTCAAAAAAACATTTTATTTGTATTGATGAAATGAAACTGGTGCAATTTTTGGGAAGGCAGGTCTAGCGACTTCATAGATCGAATAAAAAAAAGTAAAAAAATGCAATTTGGCGATCTAAAATGATCATTAGACATAAGCACATCAAATTATCAGATATTTTATAGAGATTTTAATAAGTATAAATTTTGTTTACATTCCTATGGGTTCCGTACCAATATTTATCCTTCAGACGACGTCGCGGCGCTTATACGCTTCGATATTTCGTCTTTATGCAGTTAAAGCAGCGGGATTGTTTTCAAAAAAGGTTCAAATTTTTCAAAAAGCCATTTTCTTCAAAAAATTTAAAATTCTCCAAAAATCTATTTTTATTCAACGTTCTAAAAATATTTGCATCTTTTTTTAAAAAAAATATTTGTGGTACGGAAAGTTTCAGAAATTTTCCTTAAGGCACGATGCCATGCACCACTAGTTATTCTTTTTTTTTTAATTAGGGGTATGATTACATGCCAATTTTTGTATATGCATTTACCATTGCATCGCTTGCTAGAATTAAACATTTTCTCCAATTAAATGCGAGAGTTAATCGCAGTTTACAACATAAATTTACTTAGAATTTTAATTTATTATTGTCATTATTATCAATAATGCTATTTAATTATTATTTATTCATTTATTTAATCCTTTTTGTTTTTCTTTTTTTCTTTGTTTTGATTTCCAATAGCCACTTTCAACATAAAGAGTATGATGCAATCTTTTATGAAATTTAAAAAATGCTCTTTTACTGAATTCCTAAAACATTTATTACTAACTTATAACAAAATCGGCAGTAAAAGTTTTGATTGTTTTTTGACGGCCTTTGAAAAATCACCTAAAATTTCTCTAGACTAGAATTCCATCTTAATGTGGAACATTATGTATTAACTGTTATATTGACAGTTTTTTCATAATTCAATATTGTTTATAATTAATTTTATTTCAATTTTAAAATTATTAAATCAATTAAAATCAAATTAATTAAATTAAATATTTAATTATATTTTTGAATATATTGAATGTTCCATAAAGAACTGATAAGCGGTGTTTCGCCAGCAACCTGAATCGAGGGCTAGATCTAGGTTGGTTTCAAAATTCGCGTACTGGTTCACCGGTGAAACGTGATAATTCCTTTGTAGTAAATTCTTTCCTACACATCGCCCTTCTCAAATGGAAAAATGTCAGGAAATGTAAATTACTTTTCTCCAAACGATACAAAAGAATTTAAATATAGATTAAAAATTCGTTCAGGTACTATAGATGATATCGAAGCATCTTTTGTGTTTCTTTTGCGAGAAACTGATAGCAGCGATTGGATTTACTGCAAACTTTTGAACGTAGAACAGACGATATCGAGCAGTATCGATACTTTTTTATATTAGGTTGTCAAATATCTCCCTTCCGCCTTTTTGTATTATAAACCAAGCAAAAAAGCGGAAGGTAGATATTTGACAACCTAATATTATAATATTTTATTTAAATATGTATTATCTTCCTTTTTTCTGAATTCTTCATGAGTGTTACTTAGTACTTAATAGATAATACAGATACTTTCTGAGCATTCTGCTAGATTACTAATATATTATCTTCCTGACCCTACAATAATTATTTCTAGTACTCGATAGTAGATTCCGCCGATTTTTTTAACATCGATACTTTTACGGATTAATACTTTACTATAACAATTAAATGTTTCGAATTTTCAAACAACTATAATAAAATCAACAAAATTGGAACAGTGTGTCCTTTATTAATTCGTTTCGTTCGAACAATATGTGAAATTGATTCGTAAATAATTTAATAAAACGACTATTGTATGGAATTTAGTTAATGTCGAACGATAAATAGTGAATAATCAAATTTAATAACAGGTATGTGTACGTTAATTACTTTTGTTAATTATTAATAAAATGATTAAATAGTCGTATATACACACTAAACATGGTGTGGTACCATATGTTCACCGACCCTTTTTGGGACCAAATTCTGGAACTAAATCATTTTAGTCGATTCAGACTCAATCTACTGTAATAATTTTTATTTCTGCAATATTTTGGGTAAACAGATGGCGCTCTGTAAGAATATAAATTTTCGCAATGATTAAAATAATCTTGTCGATTTCAGTAGCCCTTTGTATCATACAACGGATTCTCGAATAAGATGCGATTCGAAGGAGAGCGTAAAGTGTCATCATCTTGACAAGATGCAGCCCCAAAGTCTTATGCATCAAAAGACGATTTGGTGAGTTAACGGACAAGGAGAGATTGAATTGCGATTCCAATAAACCATTTGATAATGAATTTAATTCATGACCCAAGGTCTAGGCTCATAATTAATTTTTGTGTCAGCAATAAACACTGAGGTCTGGGTATACAAAATGGGTATACCAACAGAAGTCCGGTGTCAGGTAGTAAATACGTTAACTACGATGAACCGAGGACTGAACGTACCTTATAAGTAGTCGCGGAAAACCAGTGATTATGGTGCTGCATCAAAATCTATATTTTTTTAAATCCCCAAAAAATGCTCATTCTCTGTCTTCATCTCAAACGTCGTGGGTCACCAGTGTAGGAGAGTAGTTATTAAATATAAAAATATAAAATCCATTGGATGAAAATGTAAACGATTTATTAATTACAAAATTTTATGATAAATAAAAATGACAAGTGATTTTTTTCTGGTCTTCTTGATTCCCCACAATAGTGCATTAGAAGCTATTTACCAAAAGATAAAATTTGATTTAAGATCAATTAACTAGATCAAATTCTTTTTTATGATGATGGCAATTTGATCAAGGTGGTCTAGCATTTTCGTCGCCTCTGGTTTTACTTGGAAATTTGCACCCAACCTAAATTCTTCTATCATCAGCTCCGACCAGGTTATTTCCGTCCCGCGAATGAAAGTCACAGACAAGTCGTTCCATGGGCGTGCGCGCACATTAATTATTCAGAAAACAAATTCAGCATACGCTCCATTAGCTGAACAACCCCCCTTTTTAACAATACTCGTACGATGTGCAAGGGTGCCCTCGATGGAAAAGAAACATGTGTGATGGATGGATAGATGGATAGATGGAATCGTGAAAGTGGAAGCCACTGTACTAATTGTTTCAACCAGTGGTGTTGTTATTGGTTTTGATAATTGGTGCTAGAAATAACTACATCTATTTATAGACCTAATTTTGAATAAACTTGTTTTGTCGTCTGGTAATAAAATTAAACTAGTGGTGTATGGCATCGTGCCTTAAGGAAAATTGATAAAACTTCCCGTACCGTAATGAAATATTCGAGAAATTTTAAACGTTTTCAAATATGATATATTATTACAAATGCTGTAACTTTCATTATTTTTGCCATCTTGTTATATCTGAGCAAATCAAATGTAAATCATAAATCAATGTATCTCCAGAACATTAACAATCGTCGTTTCATTTCGAATTCAATTTCAAAAAAAAAAATAGTTGCTTGTTGTCTGCACAAAATTAAAAAAAGTGCTCCCGTCAGAAAAAATGGATGTGTGTGTGTATGTGTGTTTTGTATGTCCGCATTTTTTCGTCCACGTTTTCGGGCGCACGGATCAACCGATTTGAATGGTTTAAAAAACATTCGATTCCTATTGATAGGGAGATGTGCTCATTAGTTTTTGGCAAAGACAGGTCCCGCCATTTCGAAGATACAGAGCTCTAAATGTGCAAAAAATGGCAGTTTTTGAGTGAACTCTAGGCGTCCGATTTGAATGATCTAAAAAACTTTCTGCTTGCATTGACAAAACAATTGCTTTTGAGGATAAAAAATTAATACATCTTTTTTTATTTTCCATAAAATATTTTTGTAACTTTGGATTAAAAATTTAAAAATTTACCCAGGCTAAGCACAGTCTAAGCGCCACTTTGGTACAAATGTTTACCCAAGTGCGTTTAGACTGGAGCACTTTTCAATTTTGTGCAAATTAGGCAACTATTTTTTTAACTTCCCGTAAGGTAAGTTATTGTAATCGTCCAAAAATCAAAATCGAAAATTTTTACATTTCTCGACGTTTTGAATGTTTCTGAACATTTTGGCATACTTGAGAAAAAATGGATGTGTGTGTGTGTATGTATGTATGGATACAATTTTTCGTCCACGTTTTCGGGCGCACGGATCAACCGATTTCAATGGTTCAAAAAACATTCGATTCCTATTAATAGGGAGATGTGCTGATTAGTTTTTGGCAAAGGCAGGTCCAGCAGTTACGGAGATATAGAGCAAAGAGTGCAGAAAATAAAAATCGAGTTTTTGAGAGAACGGAGCATTGGATTTGAATGATCCAGAAAACATTCAATTTGTAATGACGGGGAGTAGTGGTGGTTAGTTTATGGCAAAGGCAGGTCCAGCGGTTTCGGAGATACAGAGCTGAATGTGCAAAAACTGGTAGTTTTTGAGAGAACTAAGCGTGCGATTTGAATGATTCAAAGAACTTACCGTTTGTTTTAACAAAATAATTGATTTTGGAAAAAAAAATTGTTTCAAATTCTTGTTTTCAAAAAATTTTTTTTTCAAAAAAATTTTTTTTTTGTATATCGAAAATAATTGAGATTTTTATTTTAATTCTGATCTAATATACTGTAAACAAAATATTATTTCAAATAAAATATGATTAAGTTCAAAATTTGTTTTCGACTTTAAAAGTTGGCAGCAATATTTTTATTTATTCTATTGACAATACTATTTTACACACTGAACAATTTAGATAAATATAAAAAATATAAATAAAATAAAATTTCAGTATGAATACAAATTGTTTTCAATATTCCGCAGTATATATAATTCTATTTATTTTCTATTTTCTTTGTACTTCATGAAAATTATAGTAAACATTTTAAATTTTCAGTAAAATTTGACAAATAAAAAATAATTAAGTATTTATAGTAACATTTTAATTAAAATATAATCAGTCTCATTTGTTGAAATTAATTTATTGGAAAATGCTAATGTTAAAATATTTTTTTGAATTTTTTGATTAATGTATTATTTAATTATTATATATTAATATTTAATATATAATATATATAATATATTATTAATTAATTATAATATATTTCAAAAATTACGTTTTTATTTCAACACGGTATGTTTTTGCACATGATGGTTCGAATATGATTCAAAACTCTATTAAAAGTTTCAAATCATTGATCAACTTTTATTATATATTATATTATATTATATTATATTATTGTATATTATTGATTATATTACTGATTATTTTTAATTACTCGAATTTTGAATTGCGGTACGGGAAGTTCCAGCAATTTGCCTTAAGACAGAATTCCACTTACAGCTAGTTTTTTTTTGAAATTGAGTTCGAAATGAAATAACGATTGTTGATGTTGTAGAGATAAATTGATTTACGATTTACATTTGATTTGCTCAAATATAACAAGATAGCAAAAACAATGAAAGTTACAGTATTCGTAATAATATATTTGAAAACGTTTAAAATTTCTCGAATATTTCAATACGGGACGGAAAGTTCCAGCAATTTGCCTTAAGGCACGATGCCATACACCACTAGTTGATTTTTGGACGATTATTATAACTTACCCTACGAGCAAGAACGTTACTTTGTGGAAAAAATGAAGCATGACTTTGAGCTTTGAGTACTTTATCTATCAGGTGCATAAATCGTTGCCGTTTACAACTTCTAATACCCCCCGTTATGTATCATTTACAACTAGTTTTAAATTCAACACATATTTTCAAACAAAAATCGAATCACACACTAGAATTTTATATATTTCCATTTCCAATTTGTGATTCTGCGCATTTCGTTCTTTGGGAGAAGCAACAGCTTTTCCTTCTCTTCCTGCGAGTCAGTCAGTCAGTCACGGTTAGTACGTTCGAGGGGAAAAACAGAGTCCGGAGCTCTCCCAAAAATCGGAAATAAAAATATAAATAAAATTTATAATATATACAAATATATGTTGAATGTGTTTTTGATGAGATGTGATTGAAAACTCGAGTTTGAACTGTGTTTTTATGAGACTTTTTGAACTGGTACGCGTACCGCGTGAAACGTTAGTCGGGGAAATGCAGATTTGTGAAATTTTGGATTTTTAAACAAATTTTCTGTGCAATTAATTTTTTTATAAGTATCTAGTGATAATTTAGACAGTTGCACAAGTATGAGAAAAATTGACGTTATATTTTGACTGCAGTTATTAAAAATTGTGTAAAACTTTACATATTTACCATTTGTTGATAAAACTTGCGTGTAAAATTTTGTGTCTGTATGATGCAAAATATTTGTTTTGTAAAAACTCATGAAGTTATATTTGAAAAACTGATAAACTAAAAGTGATGTTTTATAATATCGTAATTTGTTTTTATTATTAAAATAAAATACTTATAATTATTATCAAAGTACGCGTAATGCAGTCAATTGGTGTTAAATAAATAAATAAATAAATAATTGTACATGAGTGCTAAATTATATTTATCATTTATAAGTGATTATTGTACTGAAATGTAATTTTTCGCATCATCCTAATTTTGTACTATGTAAAATAATTTTTGTAATAAAAATTGATGAACTGTTATTTAACCCATTATACATTAGTGCAAATTAGTGTAAAACCTGTATTGTAATATTGTTTTCTATAATTTTGTTTGAAAAAATGTTGAGTGCTAAATCGATTACAGCAAAGACTATTTTATATCAATTAATTTATTTTTAAATAATATATAATATGACTTTTATGATTCTGAGTGCCAAGATTTATTAAAAAAGTTTTAATTTAATAAAGTGCCATTTTTCTGGAATAAGTTTCAAGTTTGTGCAAAACCAAGTGCAGGACAAAAAAAATGGTAAAATAATTTATTTAGAACTAGAAAAATGTTTTTAAATTGAAATTAGATCTGATATTCCAAATAAATTCTTTTTTTTAAATTTGTAAAAAATTGAAAGGTTTCTAATTTTTTTTACGATTTTTTTACATATGGGAAAATCATATCATTTTAGGTTTTTAATAGTTCAAAAAAACATATAATTTGAAATTAGTTCTGAAACACTAAATAAATTTATAATTTTGTTCAACATACCTATTAAAATTGATAAAATTTTTACTAGATTTTGATTATGTTTATTTAATTAATTTATATAAAATTTGAACAATTTTAGTATTCAATTATTTTTCAACTTTTATAAAAAAGACTTATAATTTAATAGTTTTTGAAATATTTTAAATTATACTAGTATTTCAAATATATTCAAAATATTACTAAAAATAATAAAATAGATGCAAAACTTAAAAATTTTGGAAATTTTTGATGTATCTGTTTAAAAATTTGGGATTTTTTTAATAACTTTTAGTACATATTTATTAGTTTTTAAAATATTCATAAATTAGACTTGAAATTTCAAACAGATTCAAAATCTTATTAAAAATATCAAGATTGACAATAAACTTAAAAATTTGGAAAATTTTGATATATTTATTTGAAATATTTATAAACTAGACCTGAAATCCAAAATTCTATTAAAAATTATAAGATTGATAGAAAAACTTAAAAATTTAGAAAAATTTTAATATATTTATTATAAAAACAAATACGAGAATTTAACAATTTTAGTTTTTAATAATTATTACAATTTTATAATTAAAATTATACATTAAAATAGAAGAGAAAAATATAAGAAAATATTAACAATACTATTCTAAATAATTTAATTATATAAGTTTATATTTATCATAAAATGATATATCAATTAAATTATTAACAAAAAATAAAATGATATGTATAAAATTGTTAAAAATTTCATTTAAATCTAACTAAAATTTTGAATAATTAATTACATTTGTAATCCTAATATAGTATTATAAAATGTATAAATAAAATAGCAATAACATCAACAATTGTATAATTTATTTAATAATATATATTACATCTAAATAATAATAAATTGTTGTCAGTAAACTTAATATTTATTATTGATTTATATTTAATTTAATAAAATAATATAAAATTTACATGTTTTTTAAAAATATCTTTATGAGTAATAATTTTATAAATTACCATAAAACAATTAATTATCATTATTAAATATTATTAAATTGCCACAAAATTCATACCAAATAGATCAAGTTTTCAATAAAAGAATATAACTATTTGAAAATATTGCATTTTTGGAAATTTGAAACTTTTGAATAGATTTAGATAAATATTTAGATACTAAAAGTAATTAATTAAGTAATATTGAATTGTAAAGTGAAGGTAAAATTTTTTTGCTGTTTTTAATAGTCGTGAATAAATAAAAATATAAATATATAAAATATTTGCAGAATAATGAAATTAGTATAAAAATTTAGATAATTGTTTTTACTCATGTAGAATTTTTGTTTCTCGTTCCAAAATTGCTCTTTTATATATTTATAATATAAAATAAAATTATATTTATGTATATATATATTTATTTATATATATATATATTTCATATTTCTTCATTCATATTTAATGAATTATTTTCCTTTTTCCAACAGGTGAACGTATAAGGAGGAAGTACCTTCAATCAGTGTCTATTCATTCAATGGAAATAATTAATTGAAGTGTTTCCAAGTGTGTGTGTCGGTGTGTTGATGTGTGTGTGTATTTTATTATGAGATTACTCTCACAAGGAAGTGTAATAAACTCTGTGATTTAATTCGGTTTCAAAAGGACTAAGGACTAAGGAAAGTCTGAAGAGAGGAGCAAAAGGACTTTTAGGGAATTACTCTAAAAGGTAATTGGATTTAAATTTATATTCATCGTTTTTTTTCTATCATTGCGTGTGTTGTTTTGTTATTTATACATCGTTGAAATATGTCTTTCGTTTATAAATTAAATCGAGAAGACGTCCTATTGATGTTTTGCCAAAAATTGTTTTTACAGTTGCGTCGTTTGAAAGAACATAATAAACAACTCTTGAAAGTGTTTACTGAGGAAAAAATTGTATGCGTCGTGAAATTTTGTTTAGGCACTCTTTTTTTGGTTAGTTTGGGAGAAACTAGATGAAATTTACAGCAATTCCATATAAATTACTTCATACCTTCCGATAGGAAAATTTTGCAAAAATTAGTTGGAACTCACTGTTATTTTGCGGGACATTTTTCTTCATTTAATTAAATAACAGGAAAATTTTGCTTTGGACATTTTTATATGGCTAGCTTAGCTGAAACTAGATAAAATTTACTAGCATTTTAAATAAACTATCTTATGCTCACCCATACGAAAATTGTGAAAAAAATTGGTTAAATTTCGCTGTATAGTACAAAGTTGCCATGTATGGATTTGTGACATTTATCTAAATTGAATTAAATAACAGGAAAATTTTGTTTTGGGCACTCTTTCTTAGTTAATTTAGCAAAAAATAGAAAAAAATACCAAAATTCAGAGTTAAATTATTTTATGTTCATCCATATGAAAATTTTGAGAAAAATTGGTTCAAATTTGCTGTTGTGTATAGTGCAAATTTGCCATATATGGATTTGGGACATTTTTCTGCATTTAAATAAATAACTCGAAAATTTTGTTTCGCAAATTATTCTCTAGTTAGCTTAACGAAAACTACATAAAATTTATAACAATTTAATATAAATTATCTAATACACTCTTATACAAAATTTTTGAGTAATATTAGCTTGAATTTGCATTTACATATTGAGCAAATTTGCTAACTAAAAGAGTAATTTTTTAACATTTTTTTAAATAACTTGCATTCTTTTTTTATTCAGCTTAGCAGAAACTAAATAAAATGTACTAGAATCTTATATAAACAATTTTGTGAACTCCGATACGAAAATTTTGAATAAAACAAACATGTATATACTGTGAATTCACAAATTGGGGACATTTCTCTACATTTTATTGAATATCTTCAACATTTTGTTAGGGGCACTCTTTTCTATTTAGCTTAGCAGAAACTAGATAAAATTTACTACTGTTTTATATAAACAATCTTATAAACTCGAATACAAAAATTTTGAATAAAGCTACCTATAAATCTGCCTCTTTCGTTGTGTAATTCATAATTGAATATTCGGAATTTTTTTTACATTTTATTAAATAACTTTAAAAAATTGTTCAGGGCACTTTCTTTGATTCAGTTTAGTAGAAACTAGATATAATTTACTAAAATTTGTTATACACTCTGATGATTAAAATTATAATGAAAGTTTGAACTCGCCCCTATATATTTTCTATGTATGGATCATGGGCATTTTTTACATTTTTTAAAAACTTGTTTCGGGTACTCTTTCTTTGCTAGCTTATCAGAAACTAGATAGAATTTACGACATTCATAAATAAACTATTTTATACATTCCAATATGAAAATATGGGATAGAACTGGTATCGACATGAAAGTATATAATAAGTAAATCATTCTAAGGCGTTTCATCGCATGAAAGGCAAAGATTTATAAATTAATCTTTAATTTTTCCAAACGATTTGACTAAATTTTATGTGAATTATAGATATGGTGCCTTATACCAATAAATATGCACAGAACTCATAGATTACATTCATACACTAACTTGTCTTTAACGATGATTTTTGTGTTAAATTTTAAGTAGAGTAATTGAATAAATTAGAGTTATGGAGCATGAATAATTTACAAACTAGTGGTGTATGGCATCGTGCCTTAAGACAAATTGCTGGAACTTTCCGTACCAGACCGTAATGAAATATTCGAGAAATTTCAAACGTTTACAATTATATTATTACAAATACTGTAACTTTCATTATTTTTGCTATCTTGTTATATCTGAGCAATTCAAATGTAAATCATAAATCATAAATCAATTTATCTCCAGAACATTAACAATCGTCATTTCATTTCGAATTCAATTTCAAAAAAAAAAATAGTTGCCTAATTTGCACAAAATTGAAAAAGTGCTTCGGTATAGTCACAGTCTAAACGCATTTGCAAATAATTCTGTGCGACATTTTTTTCACTTATATTGTCCTTAGCTTGGCGACATTTTCACATTTTTAATAGTTTTCACAAAATTGGAAAAGTGCTCCAATACATAAACAGTCTAAACCCACTTGGGTAAAAACATTTGTATCAGAGTGGCGCTTAGACTGTGCCTAGCCTGGGTAATTTTTTGAATTTTTGATCCAAAATTACAAAAATATTTTATAAAAAGCAATTGTTTTTTCAGCACAAGCAGAAAGTTTTTTAGATCATTCAAATCGGACGCTCGAAAACTGCTATTTTTTACACATTTAGCTCTGTATCTCCGAATCCGCTGGACCTGCCTTTGCCAAAAATTAATAACCACTTCTCGCTGTCATTACGAATTGAATGTTTTTTTGGATCATACAAATCGGATGCTCCGAGCTCTCAAAAACTTGATTACTATTTTTTGCACTTTTTGCTCCGTATCTCCGTAACGGCTGGACCTGCCTTTGCCAAAAACTAATCAGCACATCTCCCTATCAATAGGAATCGAATGTTTTTTGAAAAAGTATTTTTGCAAGATTAAGCTGCAATTACTACATATTTTAAAAAATTAACCACAATAATCGAAAAATGGTCACATTTTGACCGAAGTTTTAGATTGCACTTAAAAGCTCATAATGTTTAAACTACACAAGATTCATTTTCTTTCTTGACAACAGTCGGCGTGACAGTTATTGATTGTAACCAATCAATATCTGTCACGCCGACTGTTTCGTTTTGACGTTGATTTCTGGGACACCCTGTACATAATGTCCATTTTAAACCATTATCATATTGCAGTATGTACCTACACGATCGTTTGTCAATTTACTCTGCTGCTCCTCCTGCTCCTGCTCCACCTGCTCCACATATTGTCGAATTGCGTTCGTCGGTTCGTTCGATATAGTGTTTTTTATTGCCGAACGCAACACGTAATTATAGATCACACACGAAACGAAACACGGATGTGAGCACGACCACCCAACCAAACCCAAATATACCCATACCCATACCTATACTTATACTTCTATACTCAGGGCCGGATTTAGAAATTTAGCGCCCCGGGGCACTGACAAAAATGCCGCCCCATCCCTGAAATTTTACGAACTTTCGAACTTTTTTTTAAAGCAATCGCGCTGTTTGATCTGCGTAGGGACAAAATGTAGAAGCGCATAAGCGCCGCGTCGCAGTTTAACGGATAAACAATATTACAGAACGCATATAAATGTAAACAAAATTTATACTTATTATGAAAATATTTTTAAAATATCTGATAATTTGATATGCATATGGCTTATGATCACTTTTGTCCACCAAATGTTTCTTTTTCAAATTTTTTTATTGAATCATGGAAACCGCTAAACCTGCTTCCCACAAATTTAAGCAGTTATTTATTCTGTAAAACATTTTTGAATGATATTGGACGCTTCTTTTCTCAAAAACTGAATTATCATTTTTGGCATTTTGGCCCGTATCTTTGGCCAATAACTAATCAGCACGTCTCCTTATCAATAGGAATTGAATCATTTAAATCGGTTGATTCGTGTTCCCGAAATCAACTTGAATAATTAAAAAATATTAGATTTGTATTGATGGGGAGACGTGCTGATTAGCTTTTGGCACAGGCAATTACGAAAAATGGTAATTGAGTTTCGATATTTCTTCTGAAACAGCTACGCAGCGCGATTACTTTGCAAAAAGTTGATAATTTTCAAAAAATTTCAAAATACAAAAAATATGTTTTAAAAGTCATTTTTTTTTCATTTTTCAAAAAATTTAAAAAGCTCTTTATAAAATGTAATTTTTAGTAAGGGATGTTTCAATAATTTGTCTTAAGGCACAATGCCATGCGTCACTAGTTTAATTTTTTTTTCGACGCTATAAGCTTGGAAGTGCACAAATTTGTCATTTTAAGAGGGCTCGAGAACTGAAGAAAATATTTTTCTTAAACTTCCAGCTTGTTTACGGATCTTTATATTAGCCAAATTGCCAAATTTGATAACTTATTAACCAATTTGATAATTTACGTTCAAAGAGGGAGGCAAGGCAAAATAATAAATTTTAATAATCGGTTATTTCAACCCAAATTTTGAATTGCAATCGTATTATGTTTTGTTAATTATATTTCTTGAAATAAAAAATGTTGTTAAAAGAAGTTGATTATATTGTATAGAATTTTTTTCTCAAAATCCAAATTTTCACTCAAAATCCAGCACTGTCTTTACTACCTATACTACCCAAAAAAACACGACGACGCGTGACCCAGATAATATTTTTTCATAATTCATATCCAAATTGTGATTTACCTACAGGTGAAAATAATTATGGAAATAACGTAGGGAGAAAAAACCTGCCATAATTATTTCAAAAACAAGTTTGGTGTTTGATAACGATACTATTTTAAAGTAGAGGGCAAAAGGGGTGAAACCGTTACTATTGTCTAAATGGGGAGACATTGGTATCACGAGATAAACGGCAACATCGTTAAATTTTCAACAAAAGTGTAAAGTTTTTTGTCCTTTTTTTAAATTTCAATAATTATTACAACTGTTAAATAATTAATAACATCTAGCAATATTGATAAATAATAACATAAATTTAAATAAATAAGAGTGCAAAGGATAGAATTTACATGAAAATAATATCCGTGTATAGTTGTTAGTTTTTTTTTGGAGGTTTTGAGCAGTATTGTTTAGTTTAAGATACCTGAATTTAATTTTTAAGTAGGAGTGCTAGTTGTAATAGTTTTTTTCAAGTTAATATATCTTGAGATCCATTTCTACAAAATCTAGTAAAAA